GGAGTTATTTTTGTTTCATGTTCTAACAGGTAAAAAGTTTACCTGTGTAAACAGGTAGTGTCGTGTCCAGAGAAACTTAACATTTAAATGTTGAAAGTTAACCCGCAAGGATGTGAACTCCACAGGAGCAGGGCTTGGCCTGTTTGGTTGCTGTACCCAGAGCACCTCCTAGAACAGTGTCTGGCACATGGGCATTCGTACTTGTTGGGTATATTAGTGAATGTCTTGATTGATTAAACACTGGGTAACTTGGCAGTTGTGTTTTTTTTATTTATTTTTTTTATTATTTTTTAATTTTATTATGTTATGTTAGTCACCATACAATACATCATTAGTTTTTGAGGTAGTGTTCCACGATCCATTGTTTTCGTATAACACCCAGTGCTCCGTGCAGTACGTGCCCTCCTTAATACCCATCACCGGGCTAACCAATTCCCCCACCCCCCTCCCCTCTAAAACCCTGTTTGTTTCTCAGGTCCATAGTCTGTCATGGTTCATCTCTCCCTCCAATTCCCCCCGCCCATTTTTCCTTTCCTTCTCCTAATGTCCTCCCTGCTAGTCCTTATGTTCCACAAATAAGTGAAACCATATGATAATTGACTTTCTCTGCTTGACTTATTTCACTTAGCATAATCTCCTCCAGTCCCATCCATGTTGATGTAAAAGTTGGATATTCATCTTTTCTGATGGCTGAGTAATATTCCATTGTATATATGGACCACATCTTTTTTATCCATTCATCTGTTGAAGGGCATCTCAGCTCTTTCCACAGTTTGGCTATTGCGGACATTGCTGCTATGAACATTGGGGTGCATGTGGCCCTTCTTTTCACTACATCTGTGTCTTTGGGGTAAATACCCAGGAGTGCAATTGCTGGGTCATAGGGTAGCTCTTTTTTTAAATTTTTGAGGAACCTCCACACTGTTTTCCAAAGTGGCTGTACCAACTTGCATTCCCACCAACAGTGTAAGAGGGTTCCCCTTTCTCCACAACCTCTCCAACATTTGTTGTTTCTTTCCCTGTCCATTTTTGCCATACTGACTGGTGTTAGGTGGTATCTCAGTGTGGTTTTGATTTGGATTTCCCTGATGGCTAATGATGATGAACATTTTTTCATGTGTCTGTTAGCCATTTGTATGTCTTCTTCAGAGAAGTGTCTGTTCATCTCTTCTGTCCACTTTTTGACTTGATTATTTGTTTTTTGGGTGTTGAATTTGAGAAGTTCTTTATAGATCTTGGATACCAGCCCTTTATCTATAGTGTCATTTGCAAATATCTTCTCCCATTCTTTGGGTTGCCTCTTTGTTTTGTTGACTGTTTCCTTTGCTGTGCAGAAGCTTTTTATCTTGATGAAGTCCCAAAAGTTCATTTTTGCTTTTGTTTCACTAGCTTTTGGAGATGTATCTTGAAAGAAGTTGCTGTGGCCGATGTCAAAGAGGTTACTGCCTATGTTCTCCTCTAGGATTTGGATGGATTCCTGTCTCACATTGAGGTCTTTCATCCACTTTGAGTTTATCTTTGTGAATGGTGTTAGAGAATGGTCGAGTTTCATTCTTCTGCATGTAGCTGTCCAATATTCCCAGCACCATTTATTGAAGAGACTGTCTTTTTTCCATTGCATGTTTTTTCCTGCTTTGTCAAAGATTATTTGACCATAGAGTTGGGGGTCCATATCTGGGCTCTCCGTTCTGTTCCATTGGTCCATATGTCTGTTTTTGGGCCAGTACCATGCTGTCTTGGTGATCACAGCTTTGTAATATAGCTTGAAATCGGGCAACGTGATGCCCCCAGCTTTGTTTTTCTTTTTCAACATCTCCTTGGCGATTCGGGGTCTTTTCTGATTCCGTACAAATTTTAGGATTGTTTGTTCCAGCACTTTGAAAAATGTCATTGGAATTTTGATCGGGATGGCATTGAAGGTATAGATTGCTCTGGGTAGCATAGACATTTTAACAATGTTTATTCTTCCGATCCATGAGCATGGGATATTTTTCCATCTTTTTGTGTCTTCTTCAATTTCTTTCATGAGTGTTTTGTAGTCCTAGAGTATAGATCCTTTACCTCTTTGGTTAGGTTTACTCCGAGGTATCTTATGGTTTTTGGTGCTATTGTAAATGGAATCGTTTCTTCCAATTTCTCTTTCTACAGTTGCGTTGTTAGTGTATAAGAAAGCAACTGATTTCTGTGCATTGATTTTGTATCCTGCCACATTACTGAATTGCTGGATGAGTTCTAGTATCTTGGGGGTGGAGTCTTTTGGGTTTTCCACATAAAGTATCATGTCGTCTGCGAAAATAGAGAGTTTGACTTCTTCTTTAACTTGCCAGTTGTTTTTAACCTGTCTACCATCTTTATAAGACACACAGTCTATATTTCACACATTTTTTTTTTTGATAAATGGTATTTTTTTTCATTTCTGACTCTAGGATTGAAAGCAGATTACCCTTTTTTTTTTTTTTAAGATTTTATTTATTTATTTGACAGAGAAAGACAGCAAGAGAGGGAACCCAAGCTGGGGGACTGGGAGAAGGAGAAGCAGGCTCCCCGCTGAGCAGGGAGCCTGATGCGGGGCTTGATCCCAGGACCCCGGGATCATGACCTGAGCCGAAGGCAGACGCTTAACCGACTGAGCCACCCAGGTGCCCCTGATTACCCTTCTTTTAATTTAAATTTTATTTTTAAGTAAATTGTATGCACAACCTGGGGCTCGAACTCCCAACCCCAAGATCAAGTCGCATGCTCCACCTACTGAGCCAGCCGGGTACCCCTGAGAGCAGATTACTCTTCAGGAGAGCCTTGTAGAGTGAGAAACAAGTGGGGGCTCTGAATGAAGCCCAGAAGGGGTGTGTGGCAGTAGCTCTGAGGTGGCCACACGGTGTCCTGCTTGCTGGTCTGGTCACCTGTGGATGGGGCAGCTATGTCCCTGCGGGGCCGGTTAGCAGGATGGTATGAAATGACTCGCACCAAACCTTCAGGCTCTGAGGTGTAGTAGGTGTTCTAAGAAAAGAGCTTTCCTTTCTCTCAGGGATGAGTTGACTTTTTTTAACAGCTTCTGAAGTTGGGATAAAAAAACCACTTGATTGCTGACAGTATAAAAAGAATAGTAATGATTGGATACCTCTGACAGACTAAATCTTTAAAGCGCTGCAAACCCCAAAGAAGGAGGTGAACTATTATATCACCACCTGGCATCACATCTACCCTGAAATTTTGTTTCCTGCCAGTTTTAGCCATTTAAAATAGGCTCTTATGGAGTAATGATAGAACTATTTGTGTGGCAAAGATACAGTCAAAGTAATTTTTATGTGGTTGGGGGGTGTATTCAGGGGACGTGCCTGGCTTATCCTAGAAGTTTCTCTGTGGTCGGCCTTCACGTTCTCCCCTAGGGCTTCCTTTAGGAATCTTCCCTTGGCTTACAGAGCACAGATAATTCTGGAGAGCATCCATGTGCATTCTTCTTTGCACATACATGTGCACACATGTACACACAAACACTCAGTGCCCATCCTCTCTCAGGCACTCCCTCTCTGTGTGGGGTCATTGTTGGATTCCTGTGGGTGGGGGTTGGGGGGCAAAGAAGATAGGACAAGAGTTTTGAGAAGACTTGGTAAAAACTCAGTTTATTTTTTCAGAGTGCGCTTTTAAGTGCTTTTATAGAGCTACGAATCAACATCAGTTTTACTTAAAACGATAAAATTCGGGCGCCTGGGTGGCTCAGTCAGTTAAGTGTCTGCCTTCAGCTCAGGTCATGATCCCAGGGTCCTGGGATTGAGCCCCGCATCGGGCTCCCTGCTCCGTGGGAAGCCTGCTTCTCCCTCTCCCACTCCCCCTGCTTGTGTTCCCTCTCTCGCTGTGTCTCTCTCTGTCAAATAAATAATAAAATCTTTAAAAAAAAAAAAAAACGATAAAATTCAGAAACCCCACATACAAAATATTTTTGCAAAAATACAAAACAGAAAGCCATATGCATAGTATTGCGAAATCTGATCATTGCAGGTTTTTAAAATATTTTGCTGTGGTCAGAACATAACATGTGTGTCTAATTGTGAGTACAGTGTGCCCATGCTTAACAGTAAGTTAACAAGTCACAAGCCCAAGAACCTCGTCTCTTTTCCCGTGCCCACAATGCCAAACCATTCTCTCCTGAGTGTGGAGAATGCCATCTTCCTGGTGCCTTTGGGGATCTTTTGACAACTCCCAGTTTTGCTCCCCTTCACATGGCTTTTAAATGGTTTCAGCAACAAACGGATGAGTGGACTGGGTGTGAATGTTAGTGACAGCTTAATGGAAAGGGACATCTGCCTCTTCTTTCAAAAATGCGTTTGCTCCTTCACCCAAAACATTTCCTCTCCCCATATGGGGCTTGCAGACTTGAATCCAACCCACCTTTATGGGCCGCATTAATAACGGAGACAAAACACACAGGTATGCCTTAACTTGGCCATGGGGTAGCACTTGTAAGTGACGGTGACTGCACCTGCTCCCGTAGAAACGAGCTCATTCAAGTCGCCTGCTGATTCTCAGGTTTTCCCTTATTCTATAGCATTAGATGGGACAGCCACTTCATCTCCAATTCCTGTGTGATGTTTGAAATTTCCCTAGGAATTCTGCCTTGTGTGAAGATCAGAGTAGTTACTTTGCTGACAACCTGAATTTTTATGTTCTATTTGTTTCAAGTATGAATTTTTTTTTTTTTTTTTGGTCATCTTTATTGTACCACTTTTGTGTTAGTTTATTTTGAAATGGAAGCATGTAATTAATTGGCCGGGACGTTTTTAAGGTTTGCAATTCTGAGTGTCCGCTTTTGAAAAAGTCAGTTCTTCATCCGTCACTCTTTAACCAAATTGAGGTAGGACCCTACCACCATCACGTAGTACAGAGTCCTGAAGTGAGGGAGATTCCAAAAACAAAACAGAGTGTGTGAGATGGGCTTGCTTCTAGAACGTGCTAAATGCTCTATGGAAAACAATGTGATTTTTGTTCTGTTTGTTCTGATGCAGCTTCCATGAGGCGGTCTCAGGCCGTACCTGCAGATACACGCCCGGAGATATGGATTGCACAAGAGTTGCGGCGTATTGGAGACGAATTTAATGCATATTACCCAAGGAGGGTAATGATGTTTTATTTACCCCTTCTCCTCACACCCTCCCCCTCCCCACAATTTTTTTTTTTTCCTAAGGTGACTAGTAATAATGGAAATGCGAGTTATTACCTGTGTGTGACCCACCATTGTTTCTCCTTTCCCATTTTCCATTTGAAAATGTTTTATGGATGAATTTAAGTCATGGTAATTAAATAGGATATCGTACAAGGTGGCAAAGGGACATCCATGCTAAGAAAGGGGTTATGGACCTGCTTTGACATATTCCCACATAAATAGTAACGTAATTTTCAATCCGTGTAGAGGGTTTCTGCATTCCTTTTGGGCAGTTGGGGTCAAAGGTAAAGACCTATTAAAATTTCCATCCTCACTCAGCCCAGGGGGGCGATGCCAGCAGTAGTCCTGCAGTGTTTGACGGGCAGAGCGGGAGAGCCACCCCCTTCAGTCCGTGGTGCTGTCCTTGAATGCTGTCAGGAGGCCATTAACCAGGAGTCTGGGATCTGGGGCATAAAAATTTTATACCCTGAATTGACTGCCACTTACATGTTAAGGTATGCTGTTGATTTAAAAAAAAACAAACCAACCCTATGTCTTCTTCTGTAGACACAGTGTATTTTGTTGGTTTTGCCCATTGGCAATAGCCACTACCATTTGGACACCTTCTGCCCATGGAAGACTTCCAAAATGTGTAGGCTTTAACTCTGGGAGTTAGGGCTGGTATGAGCGTATGTGAGTACTTCCTGTAAAGGGTACACTAACAAAGATGTGATAGAACGTAATTTTGGCTTGTTTACATTTTTCCAAACAACCAAGTATGAGGCTATTTCTGTTGATTTATCCAAAAAGAAGACACATCTTATTTTGTAGAAAAAGCTGTAATTGTTACTGTCATTCTTTCTTACTGTGTTACTGGTCTTCTGGCTCCTTTTTTTCTGAACATTACAGCTTCATATAAGTATCCCTTCAAGATTTTTTTTTTTGAACCTTTTTTTTTTTTCTGGAAGGATAGGTCATGCTTAGAATACCCCAGTGTTTGTGTCCTGCTTTAAACGCTGGTCTCTTTTTTAGCTAGCTGTTGCTAAGTAAGTGGATGTTACCTGTTAATTGCTTTGAGTCCTTCTTGTTTTCCTGTCCATGCAATGCCTTTCAAGCTTTTTTTAGACACACATGGAGACATCCTCCCATTTTGCAGAGGGTCTTTCATTTATTCCTTCAGTATAGGGTCTCTGTAAGGGAGCCAGGGATGCTCTGAAAACTCATATTGGATCCTCTTCATACCTTGCTATGGGTCTGTATGTGTGCACACGTGTGCGTGCGTGTGTGTTTGATGGGAAATGTGCTATAGTATGATTCTATTATTAAATGAGAACTGTCACATTGATGAATGGGTTTAGGAATTTCTTATATGGCCATCTTTAGCTGGCAAGAATATCCAGCATCCTACCTCTGCCATTTACGGTGTATAAGTTCCTTTCCAACCTAGCTCTGAAATGGTAATTGTTTTTGCAAGGTTGATTGTTTCATAATTTGCCACTACAGTTACTCTCCCTCTACCCCCAGCTCCTTTGCCTTGGTTTCCCTGAAGGGATTTTGGTGTTCCTGTGTGTGACTGGACTTTGACCCCTCTTGGTGGACCAGGAGGGACTGGTCAGAAGCAGGGCCCCAGTGCATTCGTGATGACCTCATGCTGGGGTAGGGAGGCTGATTCTGGGGGGCATTCCGTAATTCAGCAGGAAAAGATGGCAGAGTGGCCTCTCACGATGAGCCTAAGCAGCAAACTGACCAGCGTGCGGGGCCTCCTCTTTCTGCGTCTTGAAGGGGCTCATAGATGTCCTTGGGCCAGATCTGACATGGAGGGGGCCACCCAAGAGAGGAGGCTATTGGGCCCTGGTGCCTTCAGAGTCCAGAAGCTCTGGACACCAAGAGCCCACACAGCTCCACTCTGAGGGCTAGATGTCTTGTAAGGCCACAGAGCTAGATGTCTTGTAAGGATATTATGTATAAGTTTCTCTTTAAACTTACACAGGCTATTGGTGACTCTATAAGGTTCCCCCCTGGGCCTGCCCAGATGGACCTGGTTGATGTACCTCCATGGTGGCCTGTGTGATCAGCGATAAGATATGGGCCAGGTGTGTCGTGGGGGTTGGTGCACAGCATAGGCCGACGAGGTGGACAGTTCTAGTCACGTGCAAATGGGACACAAGCTGTGGGGTTGTTTTCATTGCCTTGCCTGTCCATGGGAGGTGAGAGAACAGTGTCTAGCAGGTTCTATCCTTCCTCCCCTCCTCTTCTCCTAGGGTTATTTCACAGTTTAATGTTTAAGAGGATATTGGAGATGGCCATATCTATCTGTTCAAATGAGATGCAACCTGTTTGTTCACAGTGCTTTTGGTAAAGTAAATGTAAGTTAATTTCATCGCAGGATCACACTATTTTCTGGTTGTAAATCTTACTTTGCATCTCTTTAAAAAAAAATGAACCAATGTCAAAATGTGGTCACTAATAATTTAAGGGACTCTAGCTACCTAAGTAGGCTGGGGATATTGGGGGAGGTGTAGGGACAGGCTCTAGGTTATAACCTGATTTTTCTGTAATGAAGGCAAATATGTTCTCCAGATTTTATGCAAATAACCCGTTCAAAACACCAGATTCTGGATAGTGACACAGTGACCCCCAAAGCTACAGACACCTGTCTTGATATTGCTGGTTAAAAATAATCCCAAGTCTGCAGTGTCACTGGCGGTCCATTTATTGGGGGTAGAAATCTGGGGAGGAAATGGGAGGCCGTAGCAGAAAATCGGGCATTCAGATCACCTGCCGTCTTCACGGTGGGGGGGGTGGGGGGGTTACTTCTTGTTGAGCAGTGTACAGCCCCCGCCTTGCTTTATGATGGTTGCTTTATAATGGATTTCAGCATTGTAAATATTGAGTGTCTTTATTTGCTTAATACTATTACAGTAGCTTTTCTAAAGTGTTGGTCTTTCACTGCCATGAGCCTTGCGAAGCCTGACAGGATATTTTCCCATTTTTTCAGTTAGAGCAATAGAGGAAGGTGTCGTATAGTTGTCATGTGTTCAGTCCACTTAAGGGCAGTGGGGAAGCGTATGAAACGGAGCTGTGGAGTCTGAGCCCTTGAAGGAGGAGATGAGAGAGGCACAGGTGAGCGCAAAGTCCCAGTGCATGTTTCCCCTTTTTCTTTTGTGACTCCGTGTACTTGCCCCCCAAACGACCCCGCCAGGGCAGAGTGACCGTGTCCCCCTCCGTCTGGTAAGTCTGACCGCTCCAAGTCTCTGGCGTATTTTTGTAACTTTCTGTTTCGAAATAATCTCAGACTTCCATCTAAAAGTTGCAAGAATGGCACAGAGAACCCTCTTCTACCTGCCACCCGAGTTCCCCACGGTTCCCGTGTTGCCACATTTGCTTTAATGTTCCCCCCCTTTTGTACCTGTGCACATACCATTTTCTGAGCTCTTTGGGAATAAATGAAAGGTGTGATATTCTTTCACCCTCAAATACATCAGTGTGTGTTTCCTAAGAATGAGAATATTCACTTACATAACCGCAGTGTAATTCTCAAAATCAGGAAATTAGCAGTGTGACAGTACTGTTTTGTAATCTGTGGACTTCATCCAAACTTTACTAGTTGTGCCAAAAATGTCCTTTATAGTAGCCAAAAAAAAAAACAAAACAAAACAAAAGTTTTTTTCTGGCCCAGGATCCAGTTTAGAGTCATGCGTTAAATTTAGTTGTCTTATTGCTTTGATGCCATTAATTCGGAACCATTCCTCCGTCTTTGTGACCCTCACATTTTTGAAGGGTCAGGACACTTAGAGAGTCTCCCTGAATTGGATTTGTCTGATGTCTCCTTGGGATGAGATTCTAGTTTTGTGTTCTGGGCAGGAATATGCAGGGGCAACATCGTGTCCTCTCCCATCCATTGCTTCGGGAGGCACGCGGAGGCCATTTGTCCTGTTATTGGTGATGTTGACTCTGGTCAAAGGTGGGTCCTACCACTCTAAAGTCAGCATGTCTCCATCTGAAATGGAAAAGAAGTGTGTGTAGAGGATGAAGAACTTCCTTTCCCCATTGTATATGTTTATCCCATTAATCAGCCTAAATTCACGGGTCCCTGTTTAATTTCAACAGGCTTACTCTGCATTATTTTGAGTACTTATTTTGATCCTCAGATTGTCACAGATCTGGCCGTGGCAGCCCCCTGGTGCATTTTCACCTGTCATTAAGCATTAAAGGGCCTCGGTCGTGCAGGCACGTCTAGAACATGGCACAAGAAAAAACCCAAGGGCCCGTGGAGGTGGTGGAGCTCCCAGAAGGCATCTGTTGCTGAATGGCCTACACCCACACGCAGCCCTGACCCTTCCAGCCCCCTGTGCCTGGGCTCTCGGGGAATGCTGGGGAACGTGGAGGTCAGTGGGCTAGTAGGGAAGAAGATTTCTCAGAGACGCTAGATCTCTGTTTTATGAAGAGGGTGAGTGGCTCGTGTGTAGCTGAATGGTGGGGCCTGGAACACTGTGTGCTTACCACCCGTTCTCAGGGGATGGTGTCCACTTGGATAGGATTCTTAGCCATGGGCCAAGGATGCAGTCCAAGTCTGTGGAGCATGTGCTGGGCCCTTCAGAACATCAGAACATGTGCTCTTAGGGTAATTAGACCCATCCTCTACCCCACATCTGCTCCCCCCGCCCCCCCCCCCCCCATTACCAAGGCTGTGATCGTTTACCTTTGGTGGCCTCCCCCAGGCCTTGTAGTCAGGTTGCGCAGTTTGCTCTGTGCACAGCCAGACTGCTCTTGGTTGACAGGGACTTGGGGACGTCCTGGCCGTGGCCTGGGTGAGCAGCAGCTCATGAAGCTACATCAGACCCTCTAGATGGGCCAAGAAGTGAATGAAAACCTTTTCATTGTTTTGATCCCAAGAAACAGTGTATCTTTTGTTTACACTGCCTGCTTCCTACTTCTTCTGTCCCAGGCATGTGCAGGCATGAGTAGACTGAACTGCAGGCCAACTGAAGTTTAGCACCAAACCAGACAAAGTAGAGAGGGAGAGGTAGGTGGCTCGCAGACCGGTTTAGATGGAAACAAAAGTTTACTGGAAGTGTCACCCATTTGCATTTTCATATACGATACATGAACTTGAAGTCTCCCTCTGCTGTCCTTCCTACGATGTGAATTCCCTGTGCTGTCTGATTCCTGGTTTTATAAATGATAATCTTCTGTAGAGAATGTACAAGGGAGAGATCTAATCGGTAGCTAGCTTGTTTGGGAATAGCATAACCTGAACATAAACCCAGAGATATGTGTTCCCTGACAACATTCTTTTGAGGCCCTCATTAATTGAACATAGAAACTTAATAAATGAGCCACTTTCTTTTACTGTCTGAGCAAAGAATAGTGGAAAATCTGCATATGAAATGCCGCATTAAAACTAGACCTATCTCATGAGGTGGTGAGTTGCCCATGACTTGATAGAATGACAGTTTTCATAGCAAAAACAGTTGTGAATAGCTTAAATGAATTAGTGCCCGTCATTGATCTGTGATCCAGTTTGAAGATTCAGTGAGTGTTTCCCTTGGAGCTGAAGGAGGTAGTTCACTGTTGTGGTTTTAAGTGGCTTCCAACGCCCCCCATCACGGAGTCCCTGGAGCCTGTGTGATCCAAGAGTCATCCTTCCTATGGCTTCAGCCCTTTGTGTTTTTCCCTGAGACCTTCGAGACAGCACATGGTTCAGCTTATCCCAATGGCAACTGTGGATGGCAGGTTTTCTGAACGAGGGTTTTCCATGACTTGGGGATAAAGTATGATCTTATGGGAAAGTAGGGCTTGTGGACAGGTGTGAAAACTTTGGGGTGAGGCCTTGAATCCTGAGTCCATCCATTATGTCCTCTAGGGGCCCCATTTTCTCTCCATCTCCTAGGGATGTGGCGAAGGTCACAGGGAAACATTCAGGGACGGAGCTAGAAGTTGCTGTCATCGTTTGCCCATCGTTCTGGTGTCTCTTTGAACCACAATTGAAACATTTCTCGGTTGGTCTTCGGAGTTTAGAGAGATGCTGCTAACTTGGTTCACTTGTCTTTCAGTACCCTGCTTGTGTTGGGCCCTACTGATGCATGCTGTGTCTGGGTGTACACAAACAGGAGGCTGGGGCGCTGGGGTGTGTTTAAATGGCTGGGTGGGCATCAGCCTGGACGCGGCGGTGTTCATGCACGCTGCCTGGGGCCAATGCTCCATCCGTCTGTGGCAGGTGGGTACACCTGCACGCCTGCCTCACAGCGGGGGGACCCGGGCCACTCACATAGAACCGTTCAGAGGTGCAGGTGCCCGGAGGGGGACTTCAGAGAGGTCTGACTGGGGTTTTTTAATCTCTGGAGGAGGAAATGAAGATGCGCATGAGGTGCGTCTGCAGGCGTCTCTGACCATCCTTCGCTAGACTTCTCCCAGCTGAACCAGAGCAGGGAGGTTCGGGTTGTGGTTACAGTGCATTACATCTCATCAGCATTTCTCTGAGGCTGGCGCATTTCAGAACGGTGTATTCTCGCTCTGAGGCTTGTATTTTGTCTGATAGGGCCCCGACCCACCCGGGAACTGTAAGAACCATCTCTGGCTTCTCTGTGGGTGGTCACCGTGCAGTGCCACACTTCCCAGGCGACGGTCGGGGGTCTGAGGGCCGGCGAGTGGGTTAGAGATCTGCCTGGTGGAGGGGTGTGCCGCCCTGCGGGAAGAAAACCCAGGCACACCGGGCCTGACTGGAAGTCAGCCAAGGAAGAGGTTGTTTGCTCTACAGAAAGCCTGCACTATAATAGTTTCTTTGAAATGATGCATCAAAACGAAGGAGAGTTGGATTCGTGCAAATGGGATTTTCCTGTGACTGCAGGGCCTGGGCAGGTCAGCGGCAGCTCCGGTGCCTCGGCCGGTGCCGGGGAAGCTCACCCCTGCCCCGCGAGCGGGAGCAGCGCATCCGGCGGAGGGGCTCCCGGCACCCTTTCCGCAGCTGTGTTGACATCCTAGTGAGTTGGGCACAAGGTATGCAAATGCCCCCGCGGCCGTGGTGATGAGCAGAAAGTGAAGCTGGGCAGCACTGCAGCGGCCTGGCACCTGAAGGCAGGGGGCTCTCAAACCTGCTCTAAAATCTGGGCCAAGGTGGAGAGACCCCCACATCTTCCCAAAGATGCCCCACACGGGCAGGCCCTTTTCCTCTCTCATTTCTGTCACTTGTCATGAAAAATACTATTTAGGTTGACGGGGGTTATGAGTGGGTAGAGGTGGCCTTCCATCAGGATCGCTGGGGCCACTCTCTGCTCCCCGCCCCCCAGCCCGGTCACCTTGGATTACGGCAACAACACCCAGCCCTGTTCCCGGAAGATGCTGCGACGGCCCCTGGGGAAGCAGGCACATCCAGACGCCCACGTGACATGTCCGCACCTGCCGATCTGGTGCAGACATTCCCTGTCTGAGTCTCACAGTCCCGAATTCCGTCTCTTCTAACATGTTACCAAAGATACATCCTTTTAAAAAGGGAGAAAAAAAAATTTAAGACCTCTTAGATATTCAGTGTTGAAATTAGCTTAAAAATTTCTGTGTGTCTCAGAGTTCTGTTGGTATTCCTTGCTTTTTCGTTTGTCTCTTAGAATTTGCTATTGAGCTCTCGGATATAATGGTGGAGATCGGGCCATGTTTCCCGGGTTACTTTGACTGCCAGAAAACTCTTAGCTAAACTCTGGCTCTTTGGCATTAGATCTCAGGTTCCCAGGGTAAGTCTCTCTTTCTTGATGTCATTTCTGATCTCTCTTTTGTGTTTTTTGCACTGTGCCCATCTGTGTGTTTTTATGGTTAAGCTCCCTTGAGTAATGCGAATGTATATGTGTTGTACTTTCTGAGTTTTTCGGCCCAGTGGGGTTTGGACCAGCCTTTGGAGCATGGATTGGTGAGCTTGTGTGTTCTACCCTATGCTGAAGTCTGAGTTGACTTGATTTTGAGTCCACAAGCTTGGTCTGTCCCCTCATCTGTGAAATGTGGAGGAGAGCAATACTGGCCCACAGCATTGGTGTGAAGACTGGAAAGGGGTCTGGCATGTCATTTCATTGAGTGGTGGCAGTGACTGACTCTTCCGGACCCCGGGCTAGGGCGCACAAAGTCCGAAGGCCTGGTGTATCTTGGGCGGCTTTTCAGAGGCTGGGCTCGTCTCTGCCTGCAGGAGAGTGGACCTGGATCCAGAGCTGTGTGCGGTGGTTACCCTGACCATTTCTCCGGGCAGCCTTGGGTCAGGGTCTTTTTTTGTATCTGCATACCTGCTTCCCTGGATTGGGCAGGGGAGGATGTCTTGCTCTGATTATTTTTGCATTAAAGTAGTAATTAAATTCCGATACTTAGTTGGTCGTCTCAAGTGTAAGTTGAAGGTGGTCCTTGTGCAGACACCACTGTGGCGGCTGGTGCTGTATCCAGTCATCCTCCCTCCTCTTGGCTGCTGCAGACGGAGGGAGCCCCAGCCCCAGCCCGAGTCCTGTGTTTCAGGGCCGCGGTGGCTCAGAGTGGCCCAGCTCCTGGTAAGTCTGCCCAGAACCTGCTCAAGGGCATTCCTTTGGTGCAGCCCCATCCCCAGCTGCCACCCAGCTTGAGCCCATGTCCTCTGTTTGGGGATTCCCTGCGGAATGCTCTTGACACTGTCTCCAGGGATATTTTTCAGATCTTCCAGGAAGAGTACCTGAGGGTCCACCAGGGAAGCCTGTCCCAGCTCTGCGCCTTCCTGCCCTGGCTCTCCCGGGGCCCCACTGCCTCTGGCAAGCGCTGCTCTCCCTGCCTCTTATTTACCTCTGCATTGCTGTTGTCCTGTTACCCTGTTTATTTGTATGGCTCTTTGTCACCAGAGTGTAAGGTTCATAGAAAGAGATGCTATTGCACTTTTCTTTCGACAGGAAGGCCCCCTCCGCATCTTGACTCCACTTCGGCACAGGCCTCCCATTTTACTGGAATATGTAGGTGTTCTTTGCCTGCAAAGTGGGAACTTGACTCCTGATTCCAGAGGCAGGGCGGGGGCAGTGGCTTTCTTCCAGACTGCTGTCACTGTTGGTAGCACCCACGGTAGCCCTTGGGCTGGGCTGTGCATCACTGTTCTGCACTTGCTGCTGAAGACACAGGTATTGCCCACCAGGCCTAGTGGGTGCAGACACAGCCTTCAGAGTCGGGCCCCAGCACACCCCCTGTCCTGTGCAAGCAGGCCTCGGGACTGCGGGACCTCCTGACCCAGAGAGGAGCATGGACTGTCGGAGTTGGTTCCTGGAGGGAGACACAAAGCTGAATGTTGAAGGAGTCATCTTCTGGGCATATGGGATGGCCATAAAAGTCAATCACCCCAAAGAATATTGTTCCTGCTAGACCATGGAGATAAAAAGACCCAACAGGATGGGGTTCTACACTTCAAGCACTTGTCATTGTGTGTGTGTGTGTGTGTGTGTGTGTGTGTGAGCAAAAGAGATCACCTTAATGCATGAATTGTTTGTAGTACTTAGTAGCATATTCGGTTTTTCTTTTTAAAATCTCCATTACCCAAATGCATCCCATTAATATATCTCCCTAAAGTACTTTTATGAGTTAGATTAAAACAGCGTCACACAAGTCTGATCTAAGACGTGTTTTTTTAAAAAGGGAAGGACCAAGAATGTTCGTTAAGCATGAACGGGTATATTCGTTCGCTAGGGCTGCAGTGACCGAGTACATTAGACGGGGGGTTAAACAACAGAACTGTGTGTGTTGACAAATGCCGGAGGCCAGACTGAGACCTGCGGCTGGCTGCGCTGATGTGTGCTCAGCGCCGACGGCTGGAGGCCGGCTGGCCGACCTCACCCACCACCACCCTCATACCGCCTGCCCCACACTGGCGTCATCGGGCACCTACCGCGTGCTCCTGTGAGTGAGCTGACGCGGACGGCTGCAGGTGCTAGAGGGCAGCGAGTCTGCCCTTCCTGCAGCTCTTTCTGAGCCGTGGGCCGCACCCACTGAGCCGTGCCAGTGGTCAAGGGTTTTCGGGACTGGCGTGGCCTTGGCATTCAGTCGTAATGGCTTCTTCCATTGAATGTTGTCCAAAAGCAGTTTCTCGCTGGCTTAAAAGCGTGTGCCGTGTTGTCATGTGCACTGCCTGAGAGGGCAGGCCTCCCACTGTCCTTCCTGAGAACTTGCAGCGTTTTCTTGTTTGTCAGGGATCGGGTGTGTTCCTTTTGCCAAAATTTCCTGCATGGCCCGCACCCCCTCCCCGGCTTCCTTCGAACACCCCCCACATCCTTGACATTTGGGATCCAGGCAGAACCCTAAAAGACTTGGAAAGACTAGTCTCGTGATGAGACTCTTCAGCGTCCCAGCTACCGCCGTCCACCCAATGTCCGCAAAGGGTTGGGGGGAGATGTCTCCTCTCAGACGCTGCCAGGTCTGGAAGCAGTTGGGACTTGTCCCTAACGTGACCCTGTCCCCTTACTGGTGTCACTTTGACCGCATTCTCTGGTCGTACTGAGGCTGGTAGTGACACCTGGCTGACATGAGATTTCCCACCTTGAAGTGATTGCTTAGCCCCGCGTGCGCTTTCTTCATTTTAGTAAGTCGTGGTTTTATTTTGAATAAGCCTCTTTCAACCTATTAATATTAGTCTCAACTAAAATTAACCTTCCCCTAAATTATTCTCACACAGAAAAAGCAAAGTAATTTTGAAAGTTAAATCAAAACAAAGCAATCTTGTGTGTAAAACAGATAAAAATCACAGACTGTGGTTACGGAGCGCCTCTACAGGAATCGCTTACAGAAAGCCGATTTCCTCCAGTCTGGTTATGGAAGGAGAACGGGAAACGCCCGGGCCTTATCACAATCCCGTCCTGTCAGACAAGTCCTTGCGAGCTCGTGTAAACAGTCACAGGCAGGGGCTCCGCTCGCAGCTGGTGTCTGCGTGCAGTGTTTGTGTGTGATGGGGGACGCCGGTTCCCAGCCGCACTCGTGGCCCGTGGTTCCACCAGGCTGTGTTGGAAGCCTCACCTGCCCGATTGAGAAGGGGCTTCATGGAGAGCCCCGAACAGCGGAACACTGGTCTCGGGCGTAGATGACTCATTAAGGAAACAACCTTAACGAGGGTAGGTTGCAGACCGGAACCGTGAGATGGGTTGTAGCTCCTGGCGTAGAGGCAGGTGTGCTCCTTTGCCGCCTTTGGCTGCTCTGATTTACACACCGCACTCACCTGCAGAATGGATGAGAACTCACAGGTGGGCCCTCCGGAAGACCTGAGGACCTCGGACACCTTTAATCTAGCAACTGCCTTTTGAACAGTTTCTCCTCTTGTCATGAACATGGTGGTCACTAGCAAAGAGGCCTTTTTAGAAATTTTTCACTGTTCTTTGCTCCCCACATGGGGTGGGAGGGTGGGGGTTGACCCCGCCTGTGTGTGTGGCCATGGACTCAGTGCTGAGCCACCGGTGTCTATATAGTGGATCCACCCACCAGCAGCCAGAGGCGCGGTGGTGCATCCGTGCACCACTGGATTTAGCTTCTTAGGACAAATTACCCCAAATCACTGGTTTCTCAAGTAAACTACAGCTATCAGAAATTCACCCTCGGGGGAGTCACGTATTTGAATGTTAATAACCTGGGTTGTGAGACAGTTCCTTCACATCTCTCTCTTGTGTCCCCTCTACCCCTACGTCTTCCCACGGGACGCCGACTCCAGTGACTTGGGGGATGGCTTTCCTCCACACCTGCACACAGGCTGAAGCATCCCCTGATCGAGGCGGTTCTGGCCAATGATGCCATGGCCCATAGAAAGAATACATGTGTTTTTTAGAGGGGCAAACTGAGATTCAGGGATTGTCTTTGCGGTTCCAAGCATCCTTTTGGTTTCTGTAAAGAAGCAGATCATTTAGCATGCTGCTCCTTATGTGGCGACGTCTCCCTCTGTGGGGAAGGTAGGAAGGACTTCGGCCTCGCAGTCTCGGGGGAAGGACCCATGCTCGGAAGGTGCAGCGCTTGTAAAGGGGTGCCTTCGTAGCTGTGAAAATGGGATTGGTGGTTCCCTTAAATATAGGCGTCCCCCACCCAAAAATAACACGAGGGCTGAGAAACTAAGAAGCTTTCCTATTGTTGTTTCAGGTCTTTTTGAATAATTACCAAGCAGCCGAAGCCCACCCCCAAATGATTATCTTACGACTGTTACGTTACATCATCCGCCTGGTGTGGAGATTGCAGTGACGACGGGTTCCTTGCGGAGCCAGATGGGTGCAGACATTCGCTTGTTAAAACCAACAAGCCCCAGCACCACGGTGTGAGAGGTGCCATTGCCATGCAGCCCGCGGTTCTTTCCCTGAGAGGGCGTGCGGGGAGGCCGGCCGTCGCGTTCCCGAGGACACCGCACTGCACGTGGACTTGACCTTTCTGTTCGCCACATGGCAGAATTTCCAATGGAAGTTTGTTGTGAATGTAAATGAGGGAGGATTCTTTTTTTAAAAAAAAAGTACAAATCATGGTTCTTTGGAGCAGGATTTTATGTAAGAATGGTGTTTACACGTGGTGTGGGTTTTCTTCCACCTTCTTTAATAAGAACAGGTTTTTCAAAAAGGAAATGGAAACTTTTTAACCAACTCATGAATGACTTTTGTACTAAAATTTTAAGAACCTGTTGCCTACTCTCAGAGGATTATATAGACTCTGCAGTGGAAACTGAGCCAGCTAATTGATAAAGCTGCCTTAGTTTATTTTTAGATTACTGTACAGAATTTTTAAACGGGAGAGGTATGAGATAGCCCCCTCCCTTCCCTGCTATTGGCTCTTTGACATGCTTTTTTTTAAATCGTTATTAATACCAAAAAAGTTCTTATGAAACGAAACTGATTAAAGGGGCAGAAGGTCTGTCGTCAGCCTGTATTGATATGCCACTCCCGTTTTGTAAATACTTACTTACCTCCTTAAATTCAGTTGCATCTGTGGCAAAATTTTAAAACTCTTTTCTTGTATTTTTCCTTTTCTCCTTTTGTGATGCTCCTCTGGTCTGTCTGGAGGCCGATGCACAGATTTGGTCCAGTGTATTCTCATGAAAGGGAATTGGGTCAGAACATGAGTCAGGATCTGCCTGTGGCATCTGCGGTCCATTTGGTCTTGTCTGCCAGTAGCTTCCTCCCTGGGACCTGCGTGGTTTTGGTTTTCACTGGTTTTGATGGGCTTGTCATTTACAAGTGTTCTGAAGAAGGACTACCAGTCACAGCACAGACAGGTACTGTGCCCCTCGGCGCTGTGGGCTTCTCTGGTTGCAGACTCCCCCGTGGTCACAGGTGCACTGTCAGCAGGCGCCGCAGGTGGGGAACTGGCCCCCTCACAGCTGAGCCCTTTGGGCTGCAGGTGTCAGAGCTCCAGCCCTCGTGGGAATTGGCACGAGCTGTGGGCGGGGCTTTAGGCGGCGGTTTCCTGGGCATTCAGGTTTTTCATCCAACTCCAGGTTCACCTGGCCTTTGATGCCTGACACTTGGTTCCCACCCCCCCAAATCCACTTTGAAAGGAAGGCTTAATTCTGCCTTCCGCCGTGCCGTAAAAATACTGCATTGGAGCCCGAATCTGAAGTGGCCGCTCAGCCTTCGGACAGAGGTCTTTCTTATTCCCTTATTCTCGGGACACGTGGGTGGTGTTGAACCACCCTTGGTGCATCCACCTCTGTTGGGCGCGCTCTTTTCTTTCTCCACACCTGCCTGGGAGGGGTGCAGCAAATGGAGGGCCCATGAGTTGGTCTGACATTTCAAAGGCAGTTAAACAATTTGGGGGGACCCAAGAGAGATCAGGAAGCAGTGAAAGAGGAGCAGTAGAGATCATTTCGTGAAGCCTGTAACTCTTCCAGATTTTGAAACCTCAGATCATTAAATAGCTTTTTAAAAGATAAACCTGATTTTTCAAACGAGTCAGCAGTGCCAACAACTCTTGTTTTGCTTTGGGCCCACAGAGGACCAGTGTTTCCATGTGATTAAATTAAGTGAGGAAATCCATTCATTTGTATCTTGATAATTCTATATAAATATATATATATACATATATATATCTACGGCATATACGCATTTTCCTTTAGGTAGAGAGATTTGATTCCAAATATTCTTCCTTTCTTAGGATTTTCTTTTCCCCCACAATCTTGTTGGGGTCTTGAATATTTTTAAAGCTACGTTGAGTGTCAGCTTGTGTTCCCGACATGTCTCGAACCCCTTGGTAGGGTCATGACGTCCACACGGTTGTAAGGCGGTGGTGGACCTGCTGGACACACACACCAAAGACGTATTTGGTTCTGGGTGCCTCTCCCCTCCCAGGATCTCTGTACTCAGTGCCAGTCTCTCTGACTGGAGCACTTTACTCTGTTTCTTCAATACTGCAGCTCCCTGGGAGCGGTGCCCGAGGGCTGTGTGCTGGCATACCTCTGGCTCAGTGGCCGCCTGGTGTCCAGGCTGGCCGCGGAAGCAGCTTGTGAGGAAATTAGAGATTCTATGAATTTGTAGTATTAAGGAGCAGGATGTTGCACCAGGACTGAAGAGAGATGACTGGATGTCTCTGTACTGTACGTATCTGTTTATCATGATGCCTCCCTGCGGAAGGTATGCCTACTGTGGTAGACCTTGACTTTTTAGTGTGTATTTCTTTTACTTTTTGTAGAAAAAAAAAAAAAAAGACTAGATCCCTTTTTGGAAACTGAATGCGGGTTTTGTGCCTTGACCACCTCTTCTCCCATGAGGTTTGTAGAAAGTGTCCTGTGACTTATCACAGAAATGCAATAAACACATGCAAAAGAATCCCATGAGTAATTCTTCCAGTTACCTGTACTCCTGCCCAGAAGTGAGTTTGCCAAGAACTGCTCTCGGGGTTGCGGAGGAACCAGGCAAAACTTCCCTCTGATTAAAAAGAGTGTACACCATAGAGAATAACTTTCTCCTGTTTCCCCGTCTTGATATTGTATATATTTTGACTATTTATTAGATTAGGAGGTCACATTTTACTTACCAACTGAGCCAAATGTCTGTGTGCAATTGTGTTTCCTTTACCTTTCTTGTAAAATTTTGTACAGCATAAATGAGTAAAGATCACTGTTTTTACTAAACTTTTTCAGAATTGAGGATTGTACATATTGTAGATTCTTTTTCTGTGTAATGTGTCCTACTGTTTCATAATGCTGTAACTTGTAGAAATATTGTATATTTATTTCCTGCTTATTTAATGTCTTATGTTCTGAAAAGTGTTGACCTCCCTGCTCCCCGCCCCCTGCTGTACCATTCATTGCTTTAACTCTGAGGTGGTGACTATGAGCCCCACGCTCTTCCCTAGGCTGGCCCTCCAGCTTTGGTTCCTAGTAGTTCTGGTCACGTGGGTTTAAGTTCTTGGGGTTTGCTATCCTGATGATGAAGTCGGTGTTGAGCCATCAGTGAGAGACCATAAATGGCCGGCCACAAAATTCTACAAGAAATAGCTGGTGACTTTTCTATTCCGAAAGAGCCAGCTTCTCGTGGAAGCAAATTCTATGAAGGCCAGGCCATATCTTTTTTAATTTTATTTTATTTTAATGTATTATTGGCAGTTGGGACAGATTTTTCCATTGAAAATGTATCCCTGACAATTCAGTGTTCAGAGAAATAAAAACGGGCCCCTTTTTGGGGATGCTGCCAGGAGTTGGTCAGGGCAGGAGGAAGGGACAGGTAAGCCAGGTTGCTCCTGCCTTGAGAGGGACGTCAGGAACACCACCTCATGCCACTTTTTGGCAACTGGTGAGTAGTTAAATTATCCCCCACCCGCTGTGTCCTGTGCTTTGAGGTGTGGACTTAATGGTCTTCAGGAGCTAATTGTACAGACCCCCACCCCCAGCCCTGAGCCGTTTGGTCCCTACCTTTGATCAGCCTGCTTCAGGTTGTCTTCCTTCTGCTTCTCTGTTGGCTTCAGGAGAGGTTGGGGGTCCCACTCGACTAGATGTTAAGATGTGAAAGCTCGCGGAAGCTTCAGAGAGACCTCCTAGTGGCCCCGTGTCAGTAGATGGTTCTAGCATCCCTGCTGATTTAGCCTGGTGCCTGTGTGGTCCACTCCCCACTCACGTGGGTGCAGGGATGGGTCCACACGTGACGCTAAACCAGCAGAGGGGACTCCTGCTCCCAACGGCATTGTATTCAAGAAGCATCCTCAAGCTCCCAGCTAGGTAACTTGACTACTTTTATTTGGGAATCAGACTTTAGAAGCTCTCCGAAGTTGTATGTGCAGGTTCTGTGACCACTAGTTACTGTATCAGAACTCATCAGGTACACATTTATAAATAGCACTGATCTGTCTGTATACGGACCGTCACTAACTTGTTTCCTAGGACCCAGCGTATGTAGCATTTGTATTGCGATTTCCCTGGCTTACTTGTGTTTTGCACTGATGAATTTTGACAGGGTAATTGCCACTTTACTTGTGCAATACTGCTGTAAATAACTGCAGATTTTTTTTTTTAAGAAACTTAATCTTTTATGTTCTTAATGAAGTTTATATAAATAAAACTTTCAACTAGTTTTGGTGAGCTGTTTGATTTGTTTCACAGAGCGGTGGTAGAGAAACAGCTGGTTAGATATGAACATATACACACCCACACCTCTGCCCTTTATCAGTCACAGGACGCATTACCTACGTGTAGATTTTAGGAGTTCTCGCTTGAAGACGACTCTGTGTAGCATACTTAAAAGCAAACCACTCTTAAAAGTTTTGAAGTGGCTGGCAGGACCTTCTGCAGTTTTCTGCCCACATAGTCCGATATGACTCAGCACTTGGGAGGTGGGGGGCGGGGGGTACTGGAGCCAGCTCTGTATTGATTCATGATGGGGCAGAGTCCCTGCCATCCCATGCTGTCTCCTAGTTGAAGGAACGAAACACAAAAGATGGGGAGTCTGGTTTGACTGTGGTAGAAAGGACTTATCCGCAGGGCCAAGTGGATCGCCAACAAGTGTCTGGAGCCCTGTGTGTGAACAGATCCAGCTGCCTGGTAAGGGCTCCCTGAGTGTTGGGGATGCTGTGCTGCCTGGGGGAGGGGGGGGGGGCGGGGGGGGCGGGGGGGGAATGGTCTAAGGGTTGACAGAGAAATGAAAGCTTGGTTTGCGGGGTCTAGGCTATAAAATCCAAAACAAGTAATTATATAATTGATCAGTTCTGCTCTGAAATAAATGCTGGGAACGTGAGACGGGCCGAGCTTTGTTTTAAACTGGTGATCTGTTCATGTTTTTCATTTTAATGAGGCGAGCACTACACAAATACGGTCTCATCACTATAGATATGTATGTGTCTACATTTATTTCAGATCGCATTTATTTCAAACCCAGCTTGTTTGGCTCCTCACCAACACAAGAGTTCGAATTTTTCCAGATCCTTTCCGTTGCTCTGTGTGTTTGTTTACATTACGTTGGTTTTGCTTTTTCTACAAATGCCGTAATTCGCATGTGATTCTGACTTAGCAGTAGGTCTTAGATCTTCCCATTGTGACCACTTCATTCTGACCTCTGCATCAAGTGCACAGATAGGCTGCTTGCTGCCTGGCGTCCCACTTCTGGCATTTCTGGGTCTTCAGGGCTGCCTGGCCGCTCCTCGCCAGCAAGCGGGAGGGTTGCGTGGTGGTGGTGGTACCGGGAGATGGGGTATCCCCTTCAGCAGAGTTGGGAGATGTCACCAACCTGGCTGCACTCACAGCCACCAGCAGCAGGTGAGAACGCTCTCCACCAAGTGTTCTCACGTTGGTATCAGCCTGGAGGGGGGAGGAGTAGTATTGTTAGTCGAATTCAGATTTTTCTATTGACAAATAGGATGATCTTTTCAGATATTGTTGGCATGTGCCTTTTTTATCAAGGTCTTTGCTTACAGTCAAGGGGGTTTTTCATTTTTTCTGTTGATGATGAGCTCTATAAAGCACGAGTAAAATATCTCTTAACATGTCGGAAATATCTTTACTTTTAGTCTGTTCCTATTTTCCCCTAACACTGTAGTATCAATATTTTTTTTTCTAAAGATTTTATTTATTTATTTGAGAGAATGAGAGAGAGAGAGCAAGAGAGGGAGGAGGGTCAGAGGGAGAAGCAGACTCCCCGCTGAGCAGGGAGCCCGATGCGGGACTCGATCCCGGGACTCCAGGATCATGACCTGAGCCAAAGGCAGTCGCTTAACCAACTGAGCCACCCAGGCGCCCTGTAGTATCAATATTTTTAAACACACAGATAAGTTGAAAGAATTGTACAGAGAACCCAGTACACCCACCCCCTAGATTCTACCTTGTGCAATTTGCTATATACTTCTTTTAACGTCACACATACATCCACTAATCCATCTTACTTTTCAGTGCATTCCAGAGTGAACCATAGTCCTCGTACTCATCCCTAAATACTTCAGCACACATATTATTTGGGGTTGGTTCTTTTTTTTAATGAATTTTCTCTTTTTTGAGATAAAATGTACACACAATAAAACACAAATGTTAAGTGTGCATTTGCTATATTTTGACCAAGGATAAAGCTGTCACTCAAACCCCTATCAAGGTGAGGAACATTGCCATCATCCTAGAAAATTCTCTCATGCTCCTTCCCAGGCAATCCCTCCCATCCCACCCCCAGAGGTGACCTCGGTTCTGATTTTTTTCCCACCGTAAATTAGTTTTTGTTGGTAGTTTGAATAGAATCAGGCAGATATGTGTTTTTTTTGTGTCTGGTTTCTTTTTTGCTCAGCTTAATGTTTTTGAGACACAAGTTATAATCAGTAACTTCCTTTTTATTAAGTCAGGTATTATTCTACTGTATGAACAGATGACATGTGGTCTGTTGCCTTGTTCTTGAACACCTGAGCTCTTACCAGGTTTGGGGCTAGGAGGAATAAAGCTGCTGTGAATATCCTTCTTCACATCTTTTTGTGAACATATGTTTTATTCCATCGCGTGTTTTTTTACTTCCTGAGATGCACTTGATGTAGTTGTTACCACTTTAGAAGTCAGATTTCATCCTACTTAGGCCTCTGTAGTTCATATCTTGAAAGACCTTCCCTCTGCTAAAGTTTCAAAAATATTACATTTTATTCATATAACTCTACAGTTTTTTTTTATTTTTAATCTTCTGGATTTATTTTCTTTAATGATATGCTGTATGAATCTAACTTTATCCCCACCCCGTCCCCCCCCAAGACAGCTAAGACTCCTCTTTTCTCCACCAGCCTGAAATGGCTATTTGACATCCACCAATTCTCATATAGGTGGTTCTGTTGCTCCGTTCTTTTCTTTTCCATTGATGATCTTGTTTAATCTGCATTATCCTGATTACTATAGTTTTTCTTAATTGAAGTATAGTTCACACAATACTAGTTTAAGGTGTGCAACGAGAGTGATTTGAAATTATAAACATTACAAGATGCTCACTACATGGGGCCACCATCTGTCACCATACAAAGTCACCACAACACGAGTATATTGCCTATGCTGTACTGTTCGTCTGTATGGCTTTATCTAGTTTACAACTGGAAGCTTGTGCCTCTTCATCCCCTTCACCCATTTTGCGTACTCCCCCATCCCACCCTTTGATTACTCCAGTTTTGTGTTTTAAATTTCTTATCCTTACTTTTCAATATCGTCCGGACACTCGGCATGTTGTCTTAAATATGCATTTTAGAATCAGTGTAAGCTTGAAAAGTTCTGTGGGGATCTTGTTTGGGATGATGGTGACTACATATTCATTTAGGGGAGCACTGTCATTTTTCCAAGATGTTTTTTAAGGTGGGTAGTACTTGTATCCATCTACGAGGCTTGCTGTTAGATGCTTTCAGTACACCTGCTTGTTCTTCCATATATCCTGCACATTTCTTGGCAGCTTTTCTTTATGGGAGAGACGGGGATTATCCAGCGTCCAACCCCCTTATGCTCCCTTTCTTATCTCCACCACAATTTCCCTTTCTCTCCCTGCCCCTGGCACTGCTGAGGGCAGACCCATGTCCTAAGCTTGGCCAATGCAACATTCTTTGAATCTGGAGCAAGCGAGGCAAAAAGAGGGGTTGTTGGGAGGGCAGCGTCCTTGAGGCTGTGGGGGCATGTTGGCATTCCCTGGCCGTGGTGCTCTGCTGCCCGGCCACCAGCATGCCAGTGCCTGGTCTTCCAGCTTCCTGTGTGTTCTGTGGGCCTGGCGCCCACCCCTCCAGTAAGTTCTCTGTGTGCTGAGTTAACCAGAGTTGCTTTCCGTTGCTGGCAGCCATAAGCGCTGACTCATTCCTCCCTGTCAGGAAGGAGCCGAATAAAAAGGTGGTAAGGAGTTCTCTCTGAAGAAAACAAATTCAGAAGGTGAGAGGTGACAAGCTGCTTGTTTAAATTCTCCACTAGGGCAAGACCAGATAGGATGTGTGAGAAGATGGAAAATGACAAGGCAAAAATTCTCCAACTTTCCTAATTTCTACCATGGGGGTCTCCTTTCCTGAGACAAGCCCTGAGTCCTTAGAAGAAGTCATTACCAAGAAGATACATTAGAATGTTGAAGGCCCTTGTTTCTAGAATGTTCTGCCATATAATAACTGTGTTACCAAAAGGGAAAATCATCACAACCGCTCCCCTTTGTCTCCTTAAAGCAGATTTGGGGAGCATCAGCTCTACAATAAACCCCTATCTGCTAGCGAAACAAGATCGAACTTGGACGGCTACTCTTTAAAATACACCCTAAAGATGTCATGTTCTGTTGTTGACTTTCTGGCCCAGAAGGACATCAGAGAGTTTATGCAACCTCATTTCTCTCTTAGTAATTTAAGTAATGGTTTTCCTAAAACATTCATTCATTCAATCCAAGTATGTAGTAAGACCCTACCATATCCCAGGTGCAAATGAAACTATAAAAATGCTTAAGACTAGGGGCACCTGGGTGGCTCAGTCGTTAAGCGTCTGCCTTCGGCTCAGGTCATGATCCCAGGGTCCTGGGATCGAGCCCCGCATCGGGCTCCCTGCTCAGCGGGGAGTCTACTTCTCCCTCTCCCACTCCCCCTGCTTGTGTTCCCTCTCTCGCTGTGTCTCTCTCTGTCAAATAAATAAAATAGTAAAAAAAAAAAAAAAAAAATTGCTTAAGACTAGGACATGCTAGGGAGCTGTGCTACTCCAGGTCTCATGGGCAGGAAGCAGAAAGGCCCCGATGAAATTCTGTGGTGAATTCCCAGGGAGCGAGCTGTTTTGGGAGCTTGGAGAGGTGATGCAGGGGGATGTGTGGCTCCACCCGTGTCTCCCCCACCTCCCACCCGGCCCCAGAGCCCCCTGTAATGACACCCATGGTGACAACCAACCACTGGGCACATATGTGTGAGGTCCTCTTCAGAGTATCTCATCATCTCAAATAGCCCTTTGAAGAAACTGCCCTTATTACCCCAAGTGTCCAGATAGGGAAACTGAGTCGCAAAGCATTTAAGCTACTTGCCCAGGGTCACCGAGCTCATCGCCACAGCAGTGACTCTGCCAGACCACATAGGACTACTCCCCTTCCTCCTTTCAGGTCCCGGGAGGGTCTCAGCAGGAGGCTGAGACCAGGCGGGGTCTGCCTTAGATGGGATGCCCGTGAGGCTGCCTTGCCTCAGAAAACAGTTCCAGGCATTCTGGGAACTTGTGACTCTCTGTGGCCTGGTCCAAACCACCTTGTAGGGACAGGAGGGGGTGGGTGCTGTGGGCCCCAGGGCTCACTTGCATCTCTGGCCCCAGGGCATTTCAGCTTTACCAGTGGCACACCCCATAGAGGCCCCCATCCTGCAACTCTCCGTGACCTTGTCTGATGGCCTCCTGTGGACATGTGGGTTGTCCCAAGAGTTCTGGGTATTTTCTGAGCCTCCTGACTGCTGCCCGTGTCTGTGTAAGGTGTGGCCTCAGTCTGACAGAAGCTGTGGTCCCTTCCGTCCACCTGCAGCCCCCACTCACTCCAGCACGGCAGCCTCCAGGCATTTGTCCACAGGTCAGGCCATGTTAGTGGTGGCATCCCAGTCTGGGGTGATGGAGCAAAGGGGTCATGGACCCTGTGAACGTGGTCTCCCACCTAGGAGTGTAGAGTGAGGTCAGTCAGGGAGGGCCTGTTGTGCATCCGTTAGGAACAGAATGTGCTCACTTTCATTCTCATCTAGCCCTTGAACCTTTCTTCCCAGACCTGAGCTAGGAGGGTGCTCTGAACCCAGAGCCTCCCCAGCCTTCCATATGCTGCCTCATCCCCCAGGCAGCCCTGGGACTCTGCACTGTGTCTGAGCCCAGAGCCCCGGCTGGGTACAAATGTTCCTTTTGCTTGTCTTATCCTGGTGCACACCCCTGGGCTCCAGGCCAGGGCAGAGTTTGGGGTTCAGGTCATCTACCCCTTTCTCCAATGAAATCTGCATTGTAGCAGTCAGGACTGGGCTCCCTGGGGACTCAGGCAGGCCATCTCCAAAAGCTGCTTCTCTTTCAGAGAGCCGAAGCTGCCCCAATTTTCTTTTCTCTTTTGAAAAAAATTTTATGGGGGCACAAGTACATACAGCGACATGTGTACAGCTCTCTTGACAGACACGTGTCTAGAGCTGAGGAGTCCACTCCCTGGTGAAGGTGCAGAACGTGTCCAGTTGTAAGCGCGAGCAGTCCGGTCCTGCCTGCCCGAGGCCCAGGCTCGCCCCTGACCTGTCTGCTCGCTCTGCAAGCCCCAGGCTGGGGGCTCTTTCTGCAGAGGCCTGAGGAGAGGTTGGAGATCTGGCTGGGGTCCTCCAAGGTCGTTCGGGGCCTCCCAAGGCCTTTCCAACAGGAAAGGGAGCCCCCTTTGCTATTTGAGTGGGTTCTAGGCAGCCTGTGGCTTGGTCACAAACTCTTCCCCATGTTACTCAACCATGACCTTCATGTCGTTATGTGTCACTTATTTCTGCTGAGAAGTCTGTCACAGAAAACCCTGGATGTAGACGATCTGGCACATTCACTTAAAAAGTAAATCCATTCTATTATCTTGACGTCTGGACCGTTGGAAGAAGAGGGCCGTGTCACCAAAGCTTCCTAGGTCATTGGCTGACATTTCCAAAAGCTTTCTTCATCATTCATTTTCTATAAAATCTCTAACCCATGTGAGTATAGGTGAAAAGATTTTCTTGTCTTTAATCCAAATCCCTCATTCACCAAATGTTTATTGAACATCCGTTATGTACCAGGCCCAGTTTTTTCCAAGTGCTCAGGACTCAGCCGGAACCAGACTGCTGAGCCCCCTGCCCCCATGGGCTTATCCTCAGTGGGGGTGAGGGACAAAAGATAAACGGATGAACGAAGGAACAGACGATGAAAGGCGAAGGAGATCACAGGGCCAGGTCTGGTGGTGGGGCAGGTGTGGTGGTGGGGCTGGAGTATGGAGCAGCCATCCACAAGCTCAGAGTAGTTCCAGACTGAGAGACCAGAGACAGAGAGGCCGGCATGGTACGGAGGCCGGTGAGGCTGCTACCAGGATCTAGTGTCACAGGGAGGCACTGGGGATGATGGGCTGGGCTGCAGGGCCAGGTGGGCCGTGCCCAAGAGACTGGGCTCCGTCTCATTCCGCAGGGCAGTGGAGGGCTTTTGTTGCAGAACCAACATAAGCTGATATAAATAATTTGAGGAAGATTCCTCTGAACTCTAGACTAAGGGAGACTGAAGGGACGTGAGGACAGACTGTCATATGGGATCTGGGATTTCCGTTTACTATAAAGGACATGATTTGGGGGGCGCCTGGGTGGCTCCATCGGTTAAGTGTCTGACTCTTGATTTTGGCTCAGGTCATGATCTCAGGGTCCTGGCATCGAACCCTGTGTCAGGGTCCTTGCTCAGCGGGGAGTCTACTGGAGAGGGAGAGAATCTCCTCTGCCCCTCCCCCACCCCCATGTGCACACTCTCTTTCTCTCCCTCTACCCCTCCCTGCCACTCGCTCTTTCTCTCTCTCTTAAAAAAAAACCTGAAGGACATGATTGTGACAAGTAGTAAAATCTGAATAAAATATGTAGATTAGATAATAATATTGCATCAAGGTTAATTTCCTGAGTTTGATCATTGAACTAGGGTGGTTTAAGAGGATGTCCTTGTTCTTAGGAGACACACTGAAGTAATTAGGGGTGAGGGGCACTGCATGTCTGCAGTTTACTCTCAGACATTCAGAAAAACCTATAATGTGCATATGTGTATTATATCTTGGGGCTAAAGGGGAAGGAGAAAGCAAATGTGGCAAAATGTTAGCATTTGGGGAGTCTGGGTAAGGGCTCTAAGGAAATTGTTTATACTATTTTGCAACCTCTTTATTAGTCCGAGTTTATGTCAAAGTAAGAAGTTAAAAATTTAAGACCCCTCTGCGGTGTCTGGGTGGCGGCGGTGAGCAGAAGTGTTAGACCCAGGGGACAGAAGGCCTCCCAGGAGGCCGGGGACCTGGACTGAGGGAAAGACGCTTGGGAGGGAAGGGAGACGCGGCCTCCCAGTGTGGAGGGAGAGAGAAGAAAAGAACTCAAGGGTCCTAAGGGAGGACTTGGGCCAGGACTTGGGGGTGGGGGCACTTCCAGAGAAGAGAAACGGAGTGTGGGGGAGGAGTAGGTGTAGGGGGAGCTGGGGTGGAAGAAGGGCTAATGAAGAGTTCTGTTTTGTTGAGCTGCCAACTCAAGTCAGGGCTGATCCAGAAACAAAGTGTTATCAATTCATTTTAAAGGGAGAATGTTGGGGTTTTAGAAAGGCATCCCAGCCACTTGGACTATAACCACTGCCGACTGAAGAAGGACTGCTGCGTCAGTATTTAAGCATTTGCTTTAATGAAACATTTTTAAGACTTACAAAAGACTTACAAAACACATCTGAGGAAATGGGGTCTTTAACCAGGAGAAATGCAGGACGATCAATGCCATCCTCGAGACCTATAGGAAACGTCTCTTGAGCACGGGCCAGACACTGCACCAGAAGTGGGGGTGCCGAGGCTCAACCCTGGCCGAGGCTCTTACAAAATAACCCACCTCCAGGGTCCATGTCTCCCAAACTGCAGGGGGATTCGAGTGTTGTATTTTTTACTCCAATGTGTGGCAGGGCTTGGTTGCTGCTGAATCAGCTGACTCAGGACTCCCACGGATGACTCCAGAAACTGTGTGGCCCAGGACAGCATCTCGGGATCAAGCGCATCACCCCCCGGAAGAATGTTCTGAAGGACAACACTCAGTAAGGTACCTTCTGTTTGTTTAAATTTTTGTTGTAGCTGCCAAATGTTCAATCCTCATTTCTGGTTCCCCTTGTCATATTGCGTTGGCACTGGTATTTGTGCTTCCTGCCAAATTCAGGGTGAGTGGGAGGACAGACAGCATGGGCTGGAGGGCCCAGGGCCAAGGCCACTGCAAGGTGTTGCTGGGGCTCTGGGCCTGGGGAGAGTGTAATTGATCAGGTAGGGCAAATCCGAAGGGCTCAGCAAGGTCAGAGACAGGAGAAGGGGTCACTGGCTGGGCTGTGTGTGTGTGTGTGTGTGTGTGTGTGTGTGTGTGTGTGTGTGGAGGATGGGGTAAGAGGTGAATCAGAATCAGCATGTAGAACAGGTAACAAATGGTATTGTATTGTGCTTGGTCCGGGCCTTCACAGCTCAGCTGGGCGTGGCATCTGAGGGATCCCAGAATCAGGGGGAAAGTGCCTCCTCTGAAAAGCAAGGAGGACACACAGCAGGCCCTGAGAGCAAGCATTCAGGCATGGATACTTAGATGGGGCACACAGTCACTTGTGTTGGGGAAGAGATCACAACCCACATGGCCCCCAGTTGGAAAACAAGCTCTTCAGGGGGAAGGTCACCTTACACTTGCTCAGTCCTATGCAAGGATGCTGGGTCAGCCCACTCACAAACTGCCTCTGTGTGAGCCCCAGTGGACCCAGCCTTGACTCCTCCCAGTCCTTCCCAGAGCAGGTCTCCTGCCACCCACCTGGTCTGGGGAGGGTTCAGGCTAGCAAAGCTCCCAGGTGACTCAGCCTGACTCAGGCACCCAGTCACTGAGCTCTGGGGCTGGACTTCCATTGACTCCCAGGTAGATGCTCTTATTCCCGCCCAGGGATTTTAATAATTCTATTTGAACGTGCATCTCTCTGCTTTCCAGATTGTAAGGGTCAAGGCAGCATCCATCAGGTTCAGCAGGATCTAACATAGTGCCCGGCACCCAGTAGGGGCTCGCCGCACGACCCAGGGGTGCATGGGTGGACAGTGAAATGTCCAATTAGGATTCTGTGCTACATCATCTTTCATGAAAGCCTGAGTCTGTTCTTGGCTACTAGACCATGATTTGTGCTTTTTGCCTTTTAAAAAACAGTCGTGGGAACAGTGGCCTATTCAGATTACACACTTCTTTTCTAAGAGGCAGGTCCAAACTTTGGCAAAATGGTTCTTGGCAGAGTGGGGTGGGGGGAGGTGCTCTTTTACTTCGTGGTCGCCCCTTCCTCCCTCCACACGGCGCCTGGTCAGGGCCCAGGGCCACTAAGCTTCCTCCAAACCCTTTCCTTTAAAAGCTGCTGCCCAGAGCCCTGGTGCTGGCAGGATGCTGATAGATAAAGTCCCCTGGAGGGGCGCCTGGGTGGCTCAGTCTTTAAGCATCTGCCTTCGGCTCAGGTCATGATCCCAGGGTCCTGGGATCGAGCCCCGCATCAGGCTCCCTGCTCTGCGGGAGGCCTGCTTCTCCCTCTCCCACTCCCCCTGCTTGTGTTCCCTCTCTCGCTGTGTCTCTCTGTCAAATAAGTACATAAAATCTTTAAAAGAAAAAAAGTCCCCTGGAGGACAAAGGCCTGATGACGCCTAGAAGTCAGCCTCTCACAATGCTGTCTGCATGGGCGCTTAGGTTGCTGTCTCAACTCTTCGGTAATCAGAAGAAAAATGACATTTGAGGAGATCGATCCCAACAATATGGGCCATTTCCCAGAATCCCCCCGGGAGTACTCACTCCCACATCACGGTCTTGCTGTGCCTCTTTCCCCCGTGCTCCTCCCCGAGAGCCACAGGGCTGGCTCAGGGCTGGTTGGTATCTTCAGCAGCTGCAGGTCTCTGCTCACATGTCCCCTTCCCTCTATGGCCCTCCCCAGCGGCCCTATTCAGTCTCACCTTCCATTCTAGTCTCTGGGCAGTGAGGCTTTGCACACACTCCTGGAGCCCCCACTCTGGTGTGTGTTAGAACTTGGGGTGCTGTGGGACAGCAGGGTGGGACTCCGGCCCTAATCTCTGGTGGTCCAGTGACGGGCAAGGCCTGGGGTCTGTGCTCTGTGAGAACAAGGACTGTGTGGGCCCCGTTCCTTACATCCCAGCATTGGCACATAGTAGGTGCTCAAGGAGCATCTGTGGAATGATGTTGTCTTTTTTCAGGGAAAGCACATGGCTACCCTAACACCTTGGACAAGTTCAGGGAGTACCAAATTGTGGGGGGGGATGGGAGAGGTTCCCCCATCTCCCTCCAGAACCCTGAGAGCTTCCCTTTGTGGGACCCAGTCACGTGTGGACTTCGATTGTGCACAGATGTGGAGTACCAGGGCAGAAGTTTCCCAGAACTTCCTTCCAGAAGAAATCAGGCTTAAAATACTTGCCCACCAGATGGCCGGGGCAGCCCTGGGGCACTGCCTCTTTTATCTGATGGCCATCTGCAAAGAGGCCTCTGGGAGCTGTTCTCAGAGCATCAAAGGGACTGGGCTGTTGGCCGCCCTCGTGGGTCACAGCACTGTTGCCTCTACTGGGGTCCAACCCATGGGACTGACCTGCCTAGCGGGGCCATGAAAGTTTAGACAGACAGACAGGCAGACAGACAGACAGGCTGAGATGGAAAAGACACACTTGCCCCCCTGCCTCTCCCCCTGGCTAAAATCCAGTGTGTGGCCAGTGTGACCAATTGATTACACATGGACCCGGGGAGGAGGGAAGCAGGAGGGGGGAGGAGGGGGATGGGGAAGGGGAGGGGGGAGGGGGAGGGGGAGGAGGGGAAGAGGGAGGTGGGCCGCCCACAGGTAAAGACTAACGCCTGGAGTCTGAAACAGTGGGAAAGAGCCCCGTTTGGATTAACTGAACACATTCCCGGACTGCAAATCCCCTTTTCTGAAAGCATAAACACCCAAGAAGGCAGATGTAAAATCTGAAGGACTTTGGCCTCAGGGAAGTCGTGTATGTCACTTGTGTAAATAAGACCACACTGCCTTAAAAATAATCCACAAGGCGGGAACAAAATACTTTCGTTGTTATAAAACTGGACTAAGATTGCATTTTTTTTCCGTGAAATTACTTTTCAGAGTTCATAAATATACCTTATGAAAAGGAAGGAAATAGCATTCACAAGATAGAGTACAACATTTTTTTGGATTATTTATGCTTTTTTGTGTGTCTGATTCTGAACCCTTTGAAGAACTGGAAGACTATAAAGTAAGTCGAATGATTTCTTTCCAAGAAACATCAAATAAAACTCCAGTTTCAGAGAGACAGAATTCTTTACCAGAGTTCCCAAATGCCAAGAACCTTCTTTTTCATGTTTTCTGTAACTGAAAGTTATTTTCCATAAGCCTGCGTGATCTCCAATTGAAAATATCCAAAATGGAAGCAAGCCTTGCCCAGTGTGAGGTTAGTTAAAGGAGGAGCCCCATTGCCCATGACTCAGAGAGGGAAGAAAATGTGACCCCAAATCTGCTCATCACAGACTCAAGTTCTCGGGGGTGGGGGGGTGTCAGTATTTGAAACACTGACCTGTGTTGATTAATCAGACAGCACGAAGCCACCTAGTCTTGCCCCTGGAGGCTGGCCTCTGTCCCCACCGTGGTCGGTGCCCGGCTTCTTCAGACCTGCGTGGCCCCGGGCCCAGCCTGTGGTCAGCAGATGACAGGAAACCTCCTCAGTCAAGTCACATTGTCCTCATAAGTGTCTGGTGATATACCACCCTCTCCTTCCCTAACACTGCTACCTATGAGGTTGGGGGCTGCTCTGGACATTTGTCCCTGTGTGTATTTCTGCGCTCAGTGTGTGTGTGCGTGGATATGCCAGTATGGTGGAGATTGGGAGGGACAACCCAGTATTTATTGGTCATCTTCACTGTCCCTGAAATTTTCATGCACTTTCTTCTTCAATGCCCATGTCAGTCTCCAAAGGTAAGGATTATTGAGGCCCAGATACATCAGGAATATATTAGTTTTCTAGGGCCGCCATAACAGTTTACTAAAAAACTCGGTGGCATAAAACAACAGAAATTTACTCATTCACAGTTTTAGAGGCCAGAAATCCAAAATCAAGGTGTCCGCAAGGCCGTGCTCCCTCGGAAGGCTCCGGGGGAGAATGCTTGCTTGCCTCTTCCAGCCTTGGGCGTTCCAGGTGCCCCTTGGCTTGTGGCGGCCTCCCTGCCTCTGTCTTCATGCGGCCTCCTCCTCCGGGTGTGTCTCTCCTCGTCTGTCTCCTACCAGGGCACTTGTCTTTGGATTTAGGGCCCTCCTGAATAATCCAGGATTGTCTCACGTCAAGATCCTTGACTTAACTATATCTGCAAAACCCCACTTCTCAAATAAGGTCACATTTACAGGCTTGGCGGGGGCGGAGGGGGCGGGCAGGGGGGTGTGGTTAGAGTCTTAACTTATCATGGGGAGGGGGGGCTACAATTCAACCTACTCTGAGGGGTAATATTTGACACTTATTGGCAATTAATGTGCCCTGGCACTGTTTTAGTGCTTTGTCTGAATGATCTCCTTCAGTCTTCGTAGTAGCCCCAAGAGGCAGGTACAAAGTATTGTTCCCATTTTTGCAAGTGATACCAAAGCGTTGAGAGGGGAAATAAGTCTTCGGATCACTCATATAGAAAGGGCCAGAATCTGTGCAGTGGTGAGAAGCCCAGGTGGCCCTGCCTGGCTCTCAGAGCTCACACATGGCTGCACCCCCTCCTAGCCAGAGCCTTCATTTCACCCCCTTCTGTCATCATGCTCGCTGACATCCACATCCAGTCAGATGGACCGTACCCCTCCCTCCTCTGGTGGCCAGTGCGGGTCTCCACGGGGGCCCATTCCTGCAGTGACACCTGGACCCCCTCATTCCTCTCTCCCTATCCTCCCAGCCCTGCAACTCAAGCTGCCCCCGGCTGCCCGTTCCTCACCTTCGTCGGGAATTTGAACGCACTGAGCCCCCACACGCTACCCCGGGCCTCCTCCCGGCTTCCCTCTCCTCCCTGTCCAAGCTCTGCTCCTTGGCTCGTCCTCCATGCCCCAGTGTGAATCCCTCAGCAATTCTACCTTTCTCTCTTTTGTCACAGCCCCTTGGCCAAATCCCAGCCTGGGAGGAGCCCTCCCATCTCTCTTCTCCGTGCCTGCCCCAGAGCTGTTGACTGGTGTTAGAGACAAGCACACAGTAGGCCGGCTGCCTTGCTTTAAATTCATGGTCTCAATCTGCACGTCGGCCCCGTATGCTGCGGGGTAATCCCCCTGTTCTATTAGTCCTCTCCCCACTCCCACCTGCAGCCACCTCCCGGGCTCCTTCCATGTCTGGGCCATTCCTTAGCACTGGCTTTGTCTCACTAGCTTCTCGGGATGAGTTTGCTTGTACCGCGGTAACAAGTCAACCCCGGCACTCAGCGACCTCACGCTGAGTGGTGGGCGTGAACCTGCAGAGGGTTGAGATTTCATACCAGCAAGCCCACCGTGGTGTGTGGGAGGCTGTGCTCCCCATCATCTTCATTCGAAGACACAGGCGGATGGAGCCTCGCCCAGCTGCCGTCGTTACGGTGGGAGGAAGGGAGTGTGGCATCAGCTCTTCCGAGCATCCGTCTGGAGGTGCTGCCTGTCACTCCTCCCATCTGATAGGCTGATGCAGTCACATGGCCACACCGGACCCGGGGGCGAGGAGAAGTGTGGAGAGAAGAAAGTGATCCTATAGTGTGCTCAGAAGCAGGAGTAATGGAAACATAGCGAACGAGCCTCATGGCCACCACCCCACATCAGAAGTTCCAAAAGGTCAGGGGCTGTATCTTACCTGACACTTTCTCTTCCCCGAAGTGCCCGGCCAAAGCCTGGGGCAGAGCTGCTGTGTGGGCCAGCCCCCACTTCCAGACCCAGCAAAGAATCTCCCTCCCCGCTATGAGGGCTTCTGGTGCTGGAGGCAATCGGGCTGAAGCTCTCAACCGAGCAGAGTTTTGGATAAAAAGTATGAGAGCTGACCTCCCTTAGAGCCCTGCTTTTTGTCACAGACTGCCAATTTCTTTCCCGACGAATGCCCACAGCCCTGCCTCTGCGCCTCCCTGACCCCATCCCGGGACTCCAGCCTGGTCTGTCTAGAACCTGGGCCAGTTCCAGCTTGTGCCACATCCAAGGTGTGGTTTGAACGCCCAGAAGACAATACAACAACTTCTCTCTATTGGCTACAGTATGTTGAGCTCTTCTCAGAGGCCAGGCATGGGGTTAAGTGCTTTGACGTATCATTTGATTACTTCTTGTCCCAAGCCAGTGAGGACGCTCCTATCATTAAGTTCATTGTGCAGATGAGGATATTAACACTCAGAGAAGTTTAAAAACTTACGCAAGGTGCCCCGCTGGGTAGACAGGATCTCTGGGCTCTTCCCCACCTGTCTGGCCCCCACCTCGCCTGCCTTGTGACTGGGCCCATGGCTGAAGGGGTGAGGGGTGCCGAAGGTCAATCTTTGGAGCGCGTCTCCAGCTCCGGTGGGAACTCAGTGTTCTTCGTGGGGGCCGGAGGGCGCAAATAATGATGGAATTTACCACTCAAGGTGGCATGGCGAAGTGTGACTTTTGTTTGATAAGCTTGCGTTTCACGTCTTTAGGAGCAAACAAACCATAAAGTGGCAGTGTGTTTTAATGGACAATTTGGAGTACATTTCAGCCGAGCCTGCACCCAGAGGGAAAGGCTGGGGGTCTCTGCCCGAGGGGAGGAATGAAAGAGGCAGGCACACGGGGAGGGGCAGAACGTTGCTTCCCACCCACTGGCTGCCCAGGTTCCGGAGCTGGGCCGTCTGGACAAGTGTGTTTGCTTCTTAGGTCTTAACCTTTTCCTTGCCTGAAAAGTGGGGAGGAGTCAGTCTCATTCCCACACTCTCAATCAGGTGCTACGGTAACCACAACATCTCCACTTGGAAGGCTCATTACGATAAAAATAATAACAGTGATAACAAGAGCTAACTTATCCTGACACCATGCGCCAAACAGGATGCTAAGAACTTCATATGCATGACCTTTTATGAGGAACGTGAGGCATAGACAGATTGTAAAGTGTGCCCAAGCTCATCCGGTTAGTGCGTGATGGCACCGGGCTAGAGACCCAGTAAGCTTCCCCGGCCAAAGTCTTCACCACCGAATTTCGTGGTGGCATGGTGATGACCATGGTGCCCGAGACCATGGCAGTGATGAAGGTGGTGCGGATGGTGGGGACGATGCTGACAGCCAATGCTCCCAAATTTTGGCTAGGTAGTTGTCCCCGTTCTTAGCTTCTTCTGTAGGTGTGAGCCTCCCTTGGCCACATGGCTAAGGGTTTAATTTCAGGGGAAAGGTACTAGGTGAGCATGAGCATCCCCCCACCCCGAACAGACCCATTTCCTCCCCAGCGAGCCCAGTGAAGCCACGACCTGGGAGGTTGGCTGGGGGGAGGACCCCTCCCAGGACCCCACTGAGGCATCACCCACCTGCTGCTCCAGCCAGCTCTCTTCCCCCAGCCTGGCACAGCCCCACGTGCTCATCTCATCTGCCCAGCCTGGAATGCACTTGCTGGTCCTCTCCGCCCCTGTAGCCCAGTCATCCCTCAAGGCCCACTTCGAGCATGGGCAGTTGGTCAGTTCTTTCGTTCGTCCGTCTGTTCATTCACTCATATTTGCTGACCATGTGCATTAAGCACCTGCCACATGCCAGGTATGTGTGGTGTGGAGGATGACGAGGGGGTCAGACACAGGTTCCATCCTGTCCCTTCTTAACTGTGTGACTGGGTGAGTCGCCTCCCCGGCCTTCAGTCTTCACATCTGTAGAATGTGGATCTTCGATGACACTGTGTGAAACCGGGGCTCGTGGCTCGTTGTGACCACTAGCCCCTCCCTCTAGGCACCTTCCGTCAGTGATGTTTCCTTCCCTCGCAGGCCCCCTCACACCTCCTCTGCTTCTGTGGCTCTCCCTGGCCCGGCGCTTAAAGGGGGGCATGCTAATTCAGCAGTCAGTCCTGGCCACAGGAAGGTTCTGCCAGCTCCAGGCTGGGCTTCTCGTGACTCCCCGGCACTGAGGCCTGGATTAGGTTCAAGGCGAAGGCCCGGCAAAAGCTGGCTCCTTCCCCAGACCGCTGAACCATTGCACCAGACATAGGCCTTCCTGGGTGTCCTTTCCAGAATGGGGGAAAGAATGAGCCAGGCCTGTTGTAGCAAGGGAATAGTGGAGCTCTGTCATGGTGAGCAGAACCTCCTTGCTCATCCCGATTTGCCCCTGCAGAGTTTGTAAAGGGGAGAGCCCACCTTGAAAATTCTGCCCTTGTCCTGGTAGCACTTGGTTCACCCTTAGGGGCCACGCTGGTCCCTGAAAGGGTTGACCTCCCTCATTAGGATACCAGATGAGACACGCACGGGGGGGCTGTGTAGCTAGACACCACCCAGCACCGTGCGTGTTGTGTGTCAGGGGTGGGGGTCCACGCAGAGGCCTAGAACGAGCAGTCAGGGCCCTTTGGCCATAACGCGCTAGTGCTGACCACTAGCAGGAGGTTCTAAATGGCCTCAGGCCCTTGGGGGCTGAAAAGGGATTAACTAGACTGGTATTTTTTGTACAAGTCTTCAGATAAATCCAGAAAAAAAATTCAGCAACTCTGGCTCCCCTTAATACACAAACACGGACAACTCCCCAACTCCAGAATTTCTTAAGCAGAAGCGGCTGGAGAGGGACATTGGTCTTGACCTTCCCTGTAGCCACGGGGTGCTCCCTCCCCACTGACTGTATAGCCAGGGTAGCAGTCCAGCCTTCGATCCCCTCCCCTGCCCCACCCGGCCAGACGAGCTTTGCAGGAAGGGACCCGCAGACAGTCAGACTGAGTCCTCTTTTCTCCCATGTCGGTCATCACTGTCACTTCCATTTAACAAAGTGGTCACCCACGGCCTAGTCTTTCTAATATGCCCTGTCCTCTTCTCCTCCCCATGTCACACATACAGGATGAAAACACCAGGAGTTAAGAACCTAACAAAAAGCATGCAGGAAAAGGGACAGTGGGGACAGGAAATCAAGACCATGAGGATGTGCGTGCGTCTTCTGAGAACTCCTTCCAAAACAGAGACAAGGAGAGACAGGGCAAAGAGGGAAGGAAGGCAGAAAAAGGAGAGACCGAGACAGGAACAGCCCAGGAAAGGGAGAAAGCAGGCTTGCCAGAGCAGCCAGAACCCTCCCAAACAGGCTTTGCTGTTGGGGCAGATGAGATAAACCCTTAGCTTATGAGCAGAGGAGGCGAAGGGTTCAAGTCAGCAGCCTCATGCCCAGCCTTGGAGGCAGGGGGAGCCGGGGAGGGGGTGGGCAGGCAGAGTCTGTGGCCAGGGCAGCCTCTTGACCCCATTATCAAATCACACACACAAATCACATCCTAACAAATCGTGTGTGCATGTGGCAAGTGGGGAGAGTCCTTTTAACATTGTCTTCTCTCTTCCTCATTCATTGAAGACACTGACGGCTAAAAGTAAGGACTACACACACCCTGCCCTGACTTCCCCTCCCACCAGGCCTCAGGGTGTTCAACCCAGAGTCCACAAGGCCTGTGTCCCCTGCCTTGGGTCCCATGAGTGGCCCCAGTACTGTCACCATTGTGTTCCTCATCTTTACCCTTCCATCTGGAACAGCACGGTGAAAATGCTCTGCGGTCTGCAGACTCAGGTGTGATCTCAGGTCTGCATTTGCTCCTTAGCCTCCTTCTCCGTAAAGCGGGCATAATCGTCTCTAGCCTCCGGAACCACTGAATGGACGAAATGAAAGAATGTTGGCAAAACAGCACATGGAGAGTGTCTAACGTTGATGACAAATGCGCCAGTCTCCCTACCACCTTGTAAAGTAGGCAGACGTTACTGTTACCATCATCTGGCCCTTTGCTGGGTGCCATGCCAGGAGCTCCTCACTTGGCCAAAGAGCGGCCTCCTCCCCAGGTGGAGCAGGGACCAGGCTAGTCGGCCTGTCCCATAGGAAAGGCTCGATACAAGGGTGTTGAAGAGCAAAGTGCTTCGAGACCAAGATGTCTGGTTGGGGAGCTCTGGCCTCGGATGCAGCTGCTGGCACGAGCTCCACAGAGCCAGTGAAGATACTCATCTTTAGGCTTTTTGTCTCAGGCCACAGATGCTTACACCATGTCTTTTCAGGAACTTGTCTGTGTCCAGAAGTGAGACCAGGTGGGTCCACACAGGAACGGTCGTCTGGTTTTTCTGTGGTCCTACCACACTAAATCACCTAGAGAATGAAAATGCAGATTTCTGGAACTCAAATTCCCCCACGAACCTGATTTAGCAGGCACGTGTGTGTAGGGGGAGAGAAAGGGATGGACGTCTACATGTCCAGTCTCCTGGGGACTGCTGGGCCAGCCAGGCTTGGGAACCCCCAGGGATCCCCCTGCACGGCCTGGCAGAGTGGTTGCCCCTGTGGGCTCCGATGCCCCACAGCTGGGTTTACATCCCGATTCCTGCCCTCTTAGTAGCTGCGGCACCTTGGCATGTCATCAGCCACCCTGTGCATCAGTTTCTTCATCTGTAAAATGGAGCTGATGATGGTAGTGAGACCAGAGTGTTGTGACAAGGATGAAATGAGTTACTACACCAGAACCTCAGCTTACAAGACATCCTCCAAAGCAAGGTGGGGGGACGGGGTGTCTTTATTTTTGGCTACCTCCTGTGGGTTCCCCGGGATCATGAAGCCAGAGCCTAGGCCTCGCCTGCAGAGGCAAGTCTGGGGCCTCTCTCAGACTCCCCTCTAACACACAGATCCCTTCCCCCTGGAAGCCCCCAATTCTATGGAGACAACATAAAGCCAGATAGACACACAGGAGGGATTTTTTCCAAAACACTAGTGAATGCAAAAGAAGGTTTCTATGGTTACTGCACACACACTTTAAAACTAAAAAAAAAAGATTTGTTTTGTTTTGTTTTGTTTCATTTTAAAACACAAGTCAGAACCCAACACAACCTAGCGATTGCTTGCAGTATCCTGGCCACAGCGAAGGCAGGGAGGCTGGACGCCAAGTCAGGGTGGGCTGCCCACTGCAGTCCCCTTGGTGTGGCCTTGACCTACAGCTACTTCCGTGGCTGAACCAGGAAGTGAGAAGCCTCATCCCGTGCTGGTCAGCCACACTGACCATGGCAGAGGCCAGACCCCTTCTAGGCCAAACCAGAGAGAGGGATGTGATTCTCTGGTTAATCTTGTCAGCTAGGAAGCCTCAGCCCAGCTCCAGGAACAAAGAAAGAAATTAGCCTCCATGTGGCCAGCGACCATCATGTGTTTCCTAAAATGTAACATGTTTACTTCTTTGCTCTTCAGTTTAAATGACCAAAGGAAAAGTGATTCCTTTTCCCTGGAATGACTCACTGGAGAGGTGAATGTCAGGGCCCCGAGGGACAGCAAGAAGCTCACTGCAGTTCTGGCTCCTCGCTCCCTGCTGTCAGATCTTCGTGTGTTTTTTCCAATGTCAGAAGGATTTCAGAACATCTAAATCGTCATTAAGACGTGCAGGAATATACCTGAGGCCAGCTTCCTGGCCCCCTGACAATTTCCCTACATTATGTGGAGTCTGGAGCTCTCTCCTTGGACAGGTCCCAGAAATCTTACCGACTCTGCCCCTCCGCACCGGGAATGAGATCTGTTTGCTCTTGAACCGGTCGGGTTCTCTTCTGAGCATGGGCTGCGAGTCTTGCTAAATACATTTGTGTTAACTCTGAAGATGGAGATCTCTGGAGAGTTTCACATCAACGTCTGCCCTCTGCCCGTTTTCTCCATTTCCTATATTCTGCAAATTACAGACCCACTAATTCACCAGGCTTCTAATTCACTTAATAGATAAGGGGCAGGTATGCAGGTCTCTCTCCAGTCCAGGAAGGGTGGTCAGAAGGGAGGCCCAGCTCTGTGGGAATGCAAACGGTCACAGTACTCTTCCACATGGCCAGACGACCTCGGAGAACAACTGCATTCCCGTTTCCTGAGGTGTCTGCATCTGCCCACACTGACTCATCACATCCTGAAGAACCCTGTGAGGCTGGCATGACGACAGCATCCCATTCTCAGATGGGGAAATGGAGGCCCGGCGGGGCGAGCGACTTGCCCAAGTTTGCAGAGCTAGTAGGTGATAGAGTGATACTTTGCACCCAGCCTGTTGGCCCAGTAAGCCATAACCCCCTGGGCCTCCTGACCCTGTGCTCTGCTTCCTGTGACAGCTAAGAGCAGGACAGCAGAACCTTGCAAAGCGTAACGCGGATTCTTGCTTATCTTTGCGTGGAGAACGTGCCCCATCTGTGGACCCAATCTGAATATGTTCAGCATAGATCTCGGCCACTGAGACTGCAAAACAGTGGATGTCAACCCTGGCTGTATCTAGGCTTGTGAGCTTTTAAAATTTCCAATGCCCTGGACTGTTCACCAAACCACTGTAATCAGATTCTCTGGAAAGAGGGAGCCAGGGATCGATTTTTAAAGCTCTCCAAGTGATTCCTGGGTGCAGTGAGATTAAGAGCTACCACCTAGTACTGAATCAGCAAGAATCTGAGGGTTCTTCATAGGATGTAGCCCCTTCTTAGATTTTAATCACCTGATACCCCTTGCAAATGAACTGGATACTGCCCTCCTGCAGTAGGAAGAGAAATGTGCCTTGATGCATGCATGGTTTTACCATAAAAAAGCAACCAGAGTGCTTATTTAACCACCATGCCCGCTTTTCCACCACCCAAAGGGTTATTTCTGGCAAACATTCTCCAATCTGTGATCAGACGTTACTAAATAATGTTCCCACAGCTACACTTGTTTGATACTCAAGGATGAATGACCCCATGGCAAACTGTGCCTTAAAACTTGCGTGGCTCTGCTGTCCAGTGGCGTAATACCCAGAGACTGGGGACCCACCTGAGCAGGGAGGGCGTGGTGATGAGGGACCACTCCCACTTCCTTGGGAACAGTCTAAGTGGGTGAGTGTCTTGGGCCAGCTGCCATATACATGCTTACTGGTGAATGGTGTCATGGAAACAGGTCTTACTTGGTTAAGCTCTTTTTTTTTTTTTTGAGATTTTTGATTTATTTATTTGACAGAGAGATAGCACAAGTAGGCAGAGAGGGGGGCGCCTGGGTGGCTCAGATGGTTAAGCGTCTGCCTTCGGCTCAGGTCATGATCCCAGGGTCCTGGGATCGAGTCCCGCATCAGGCTCTCTGCTCCTTGGGAGCCTGCTTCTCCCTCTGCCTCTCTCTCTCTCTCTCTGTCTCTCATGAATAAATAAATAAAATCTTTAAAAAAAAAAAAAAAGTTGGCAGAGAGGCAGGCAGGGGGAAAGGGAGAAGCAGGATCTCGCTGAGCAGGGAGCCCGATGCGGGGCTCCATTCCAGGACCCTGGGATCATGACCTGAGCCAAAGGCAGCCGTTTAACCGGCTGAGCCACCCAGGCGCCCCTGGTTAAGCTCTTTTTGGTTAAAAAGATTTTCATGACAAAATTGAGAAGGGGGAAGAAAGATCCATAAACTTTCCATCCTTCCAGGCTTTTCCCCAAAATATATTTTATGGTTGCACTCATTGTATATGGACACTTTCACATCCTGCTTTTTTTAATTATCACTTTGCTACACTACGATCCAAACCTCAATAACCACAAGTTATTTGACCATCCCTATTGCTCGCTACTTGATTACCTCCATCTCTTTGCTATTATAAGCTACACTTTAAGGAATATTGTACACAGGCAGTGTTTTCCTTTTTCTGATTTATTTGTTTGACATGAATGTATAGGACTAGAATTACTGAGTAGGAACTTTTAAATGACTCTATTACCAAATTGTTTTCCACAAGAGTTATATTACTACATATTGTCATTAATACCAGATACATGGCAGATCCCATAAAATTTCACCAGGATTGTGTATTTTTCATATGTTATTTTTTGGGCAGCTTAATATACAAAATAATGCCATGTTACTATTGTAGTGGACATTTCTTTGATTACTAGCAAGTTCCATTCATTCATGCACGCAGTGATGATTTTATGTATTGGATGCCCATTCTGTGCCAGGCAGTGTTCTAGGCACTGGAGAGACAGCAGTGAACAAAACAAACCCCAACCCCCACCCCTGAGGAAGTCGTCTTCTAGTGAGCTTTTTCCTGTTTGTACTCTGGCAACTGTGTGACTCACTTAACAGTAGGGGCTGGACATTTGGGCAGGTTCCACGCACACCTTTAATTGGTGCAGCCTTGCACAGCAGAGCTTCTCTGAAAGCCCTGTGCGCAGGTGATAAGGTGAAGACTTGCTTGCGCGACATCCCTCCCGCCCCCTCCACCCCACCCAGCTCCCTGGACCTCCAGCCCTTCTCTCTCTCTGGTACTGGCCGCCCTTCCTGGGTAAATGGAAGGCCGGCAGAGCTGAGGGGAAAGGTGGGCTGGCCAGTGCCCCGGGGCTATATGATATGAAGGGTGCCATATCAGCCCTGCCCGTGGTCCAGTGCCCACTCACTGGAAGGCCACCATCTGGGCCACCCCCAAACAGCGGCAAGTCACAACCCTGCAAATGATGGGAAAGATGCCTGTTTGCAGGGCCACCAAAGGATTAGCCTGTTCAGGGTCGATCTTGCCCGGATGCAAGCTGGGGTTTCCTTCATCTCCTAGCCTGAGTGGACTGCTCGTGCTGGTGTCTGGTTCTGAATACTCGGCCATGCTTTCTTTCCAGAAAGTGAAATGAGAAAATATGGATGTGAAAATATCAAGAATATTCTCAGTAACTGAGGTTAATCATTAGAGCCAGTAGGAGGGGTCTCGCTCTCACGTCTGTACTTGGGGTAGTCAGGGGAGCAAGCAAGTGGTTCTGCTTGTGGGCTACCTGCCCGAGAAGCTGGGACTTCAAATCATAGTGGTGTAGACTTACCCGCCAGTTTACTCCCCTGGGGTTCTCAGCTCCTTCAGTGTCTCTTGCTAGCTTTTTTTTTTTTAAACCTTATAAGAATTCACACACATCTTATACAAAACCTAGAAAATAGGGGTGCCTGGGTGGCTCAGTCGGTTAAGCGTCTGCCTTGGCTCAGGTCATGATCCCAGGGTCCTGGGATTGAGCCCCGCATCAGGCTCCCTGCTCAGCTTGGGCTCTCTCCTCTCCCTCCCTCTCTCTCTCTCTCTCACTCTATCTCAAATAAATAAATAAAATCTTTAAAAAAAAAAAGACCCTAGCAAATAATATAAACAAGGAGGAGGAAATAAAACTCTCAGATAGTCACTGCTGACATTTTGGTACACATCTTTTAAAGGTAGGTATGTGTGTATGCACCAATGGAGATAAAGAAGTTGGATAGGTAGACGTGGAAAATGGGATCATTGCAGTGTGCACGCTAGAAAATGGACTTCTTTTCCACTCAGCATTCTATTGTGAACAAGTTTCCATGTCCTTAAGTGTTCTTCTACAACATTATTTGTCATGGCTGTGTGTTACTCCCCAGAATGGGAAACTACAGCATATTAACCAGGCCCCTCCACAGAGCCTTCCTGAGATAAGGACACATGGAAGCTTTATCCACAAGAGACTGGATGAATGAAATCAAAATCATTTAATTTTGTCCCCACATTTCTTGGGACCAACAAAAAAAAAAAGGTGGTCATGATGATGATGATTACTGGCTACTATCCTTGTTCTTTGCAAGTTCCTAAGTCTCACATTCTATCCGTTCACCATGGAAGCACCAAGTATGTATGTGCCCAAGAATCCTCTTGGATCCGGAGAAGTGGCCTGCTGTGACAGCCTGTCCCACTGGGTACTGCTGCTGTGAGTTTGCTTGTGGTGGGAGATATTTTGTCACCACAGACAAAGGATATTCCTTCCTAATTCTTTTTTTTTTTTTAAGATTTTATTTATTTATTTGAGACAGACAGAATGAGAGAGAGAGAGAGCACATGAGAGGGGGGAGGGTCAGAGGGAAACGCAGGCTCCCCGCCGAGCAGGGAGCCCGATGCGGGACTCGAACCCGGGACTCCAGGATCATGACCTGAGCCGAAGGCAGTTGCTTAACCAACTGAGCCACCCAGGCGCCCTCCTTCCTAATTCTTTTTAAGTAAGCCGGTGCCAGGGCCTGATGATCTCTCTCCTTCGGGAAACAGCATCTCTTATAAGTAAAAATCCTTTTTTTGCCTCTAGCAAAGAACCTGATGCTCCAACATTGTTACAAAGTGTGTGTGCTTTGTTTCAATCTTGCCCCAAATGCCCATATAGAAAGAACACAAGAATTTAGAAAAAGTGAGAAGTGAAGTTTGGGTGTTTTGAAAATAACTTCTTTTTTTTTTTTAAACTTATTTATTTGTGAGAGAGAGAGAGAGAGAGCACAAGCAGGGGGAGTGGCAGGCAGGGGGAGAAGTGGGCTTCCCGTTCAGCGGAGGGTCTGCTTCAGATCCTACCTCCCTTCCCCTCTGCCCCTTCCCGCTCTCTCTCTCTCTCAAACAAGCAAATAAATAAATAAATAAAATCTTAAAAAAATAGGGGCTCCTGGGTGGCTCAGTCTGTTGAGCATCCAGCTCTTGACTTCCACTCAAGTCATGATCTCAGGGTCCTGAGATTGAGCCTGGTGTTTGGGGTCCTCTGCTGGGCATGGAGCCTGCTTTAAGATTCTCTCTCTCCCTCTCTCTCTGCGCCTCCCTACCTCTCAGAATAAATTAATTAATAATAAAATTTGTGACACCATAGTTACAAAATTTTTTTCTTGTGATCATTTCATAATGTGTACAAATATCGAATCATTATGTTGTACACCTGAAACTAATATAGTGTTATATGTCAGTTATACCTCAGTAAAAGAAGAGACCTCTGAGCATTGCCCAGAGGTTGATTCTTAAAATTTAAACTAATACACAGTGTTTACATTATTTAAAAAATAATAAAGTAAAATAAAATATGACTTTTCAAACAATAAAAGTATTGATAAAATCACACAGCTGAAGATAAATACACTCTCATTTACCTCACCAGTGTTTCCTGTTTTGGTTAACACATTTTAATTGCCTTCTTTGGGATTTCCGCTACAGCTCTTTTACCTTCATGTCTGGACTGAGTGTCGCACACGTTCTGTCCAGAAACCCGAAGCCCAGGGGTTGTAAGCAGAGCCTAGAGTCATTCATCGCCTGTCTGGCACAGATATCTGCCCCTTGGAGTAAGAATCCTGACTTGCCCTGAGGGTGAAAAGCACCAACACATGAGAAAGAAAACTAGATTTGAGGCCCAGCCCAGAGTAGCCCAATAAGTAAGAATTGTCCCACTGCTGCTAACCCCTGGTTCTGGTTCTGCCTGGGGAGACCTGGGGGGCAGGTGGTTCTGTTTCCACGCACAGAACCTCAAAGCAAGCCTACCTCCCCCTTGAGAGGTCACACCGCTGTCATCTAATTGTGGCCAGGTGTGGAGAGTCCTGTGGGCTTTGGTTAGGTGCTGTCAATGATTTCTGAGACCTGTGGAGGCTAGCCAAGGAGGTGGCCACACCGAAGGGAGGGGCAGCCTTCCAGCACTTTGTACAGAGAACCCATCATCACTTGCTGGGGCTGGCCTGCTCTGTCAAGTGGAGAGAGGCCCTGGTTCCTTGGCTAAAGAGAAGACCGGCCTAACTTTGGCTCTAAGCCAGCTCTAGACCCCCCAGGCTGCTAGAGCCTCAATCCATCCTCCAGCAGAGATCCCTTCTGACACATGGTCGATCGTGGAAAAAAGCATAGCTCCCCGCCCTCCACTTATTTCTTTCAGCATTTACTAAATTTGAGATGTAAATTACATGCAGTAAAATGTACATGCTTATTTATGTATTTCCCCCTTTCCACGACCACCAGCATCAAGATCAAAATCTGGAGCACGTCCATCACCCACCCCCCAATAGAGGGGACCACTATCTGATTTCTATCATCCTAGTTCTCGAACTTTATAAAAATGGAATCATACAGTGTTAAGATTTTCTGTGTCTAGTTTTTTTCACCCAGCGTCATGTTTTTGAGATTACCTAAGTTTGCATGATCACTAGTTTGTTGTTTTTCAGTGCTGAGTAGTTTTCCACTGAACGGCTTTAGCACAACTGGATTGTGTCTCAGTAGACTTTGGATAGATAGGTGGGTTGTGTATTGTTTTTAGCTATCGCAAACAAAGCCTATGAACATTTTGGTGGACATTTGCAGTCACCTATCTTTGATAAACACCTAGGAGTGGAGTTGCTGCATGACTCAGGAAGTGAATATTTAATTTTACTAGAAAATGCCAAAAATGTTTCCAATGTTACTGTACCATTTTGCATTACTACCAGGAGTGAGAATTCCCCTTCGTCTACATATTTGTCAACACTTGATATAGTCTGTCTTTAGCCATTTGCATGGGTGTTACTTCTTTTGTGGTTTTAACTTACATTTCCCTGATGATAATGGGTCAAGAACATTTTCATGGGCTTATTGGCCATCTAGTTATCCTCTTTTGTGAGGTACCTGTCCATTAAAAAAAAATGTTTTTGCCAAAATAAATTGGCATGGTTTATTACTTTTCTACTGGCAGCAATATGAAAATTGCTAGGAATTATACTCTTGTCCCTTCCAGATTATCTGCATTAAAACCATAATTTTTCAAATTATATCAAACAAAAGATAAGAAACAAAATTCCAGGGCACCTGAGTCACTAGTTGGTTAAGCGTCTGACTCTTGGTTGAGGCTCAGGTTGTGCTCTCAGGGTCGTAATCTCAGGGTTGTAAGATCGAGCCCTGCATGGAGTCGCACATCTGGCTCCATGCTGGGGGTGGAGCCTGCTTAAGATTCTCTCTCTCCCACTGTCCTCCCCCCGCCTTAAAAAAAAAGAAAGAAACAAAGAAAAAAATTCGGTATTAAAATCCTCAAAGCAATTAGGTATCAAAACTGAAGACAAATTTCTATTATGAGAAGAAACAAGATATAGTTTAAACAAGACCTGACATTACAAAAAATTAAGTCTTTAACTGGGCAAAAGATCAAAAGTTAATTAGAACAATTTTCAGATACGGAATACCATTTGTGCATTTTTTAGATCCATTACAGTAGTTATATTTCCTTCAAAACCAACAGGAATTCTGGGATACAGTGTAAGATAATGGAATTTGGGCAAAGATCTCCTACCCTCACTTACTTAATCTATATTATGTGCATATGTGCAGATGGGGAAGGTTAGGGGTCCACAAGAGGGTCCACAGACTGGCACATCACCAAGTATGCATTGGACCCCAAAGTTCCCTCTTCAGTGGGCTGGGCTTCCTGAGTTTTCTTTGCAGCCTTTCTTTTGCCATTTTTGGCTGGTGTTCTGCTACAGTTCTTTATAATCCCCCGAGGAAAGGCAGACCACTGTGGGACTTTTTGACATTTTTAATCTTATGTCATGCTCATTTTTGTTTTTCTCCAGTAGCCCCTGGTTTTGGTCAATCTGTGCCTAAACAGCACTTAATCATATCTTTGGGTTCCTCCTGTGTGGGCTGCCTTTGTTACGCTGTCTTCATTCATCCACCAGTTTCTACTCAGACACAGTGGCCACCAGGTAAACCTGATTTTGTCTCCCTTATGCTTTTAGATTCTTTCTTCTGAGAGCCTCACGAGGCTATCCAGTTGTCTTGATTTTATGTCCCTGAATCAATTATCTTTCCCTCAATCCACCGGAGGCACACAACCTTCCACCAACAGGAGCACATTTCATAAAGCTGAAAACCAGCTTTCTTATTTCCTGCCTCAACTTCCGACCCATTTCCTGCCTGGCAGTAATGTTGTGGGCTTGTCATAGCTGCATCCAAACTCTGTGAGAATCCGTCAGTCTCTGATCATGTCTCCACTAGGTGGGTAGAATTCAGTAGCACACTTGGGGCAGTGGTTAGTTTTGTGTCAATTTGGTTGGGCCACAGTACCTAAATATCTGCTCCAACCTTATTCTGGATGTTTCTGTAAGGGCGTTTTTAGATAATATTTACATTTTCGTGGGTGGACTTTGAGTATTGCAGATTGCCCTCCATAATGTAGGTGGCCCTTATCCCATCAGTTAAAGGTCTAAGTAGAACAAAAGACACATCTGCCTGGAACAAGAAGGAATTCTGCCAGCGGACTGCTTGCCTTTTTTCTGGATCTCCAGCCAGGAGATGCCAACCCACCCTACCAGCCTCCGTAAGCACATGAGCCAATTCCTCAAAATAAGTCTCTTCACACGCACGTACGCACGCACGCACCTGTACACACACACACAATTATTGGTCCTGTGTCTCTGGAGAATCCTGGCAAAAAAATGTCAGGGCAAGTCTGGAGTCCTGAACCACAGAACCTCTGGTTCTTCTCCTGGCTGCCACTTGCAAAGAAAAACGAACCTATGAACTGGCTTTAATTTTTCAAAAATCTTTGTTCCCAAAGTCCTCATCTTCTTGGGATCAACATGGCTGAGGGAACATCATCATCTCCACCAGTCAGGGGCACCCTCCTCAGGCAGGAGGGCCTTTCCCAAAGCTGGAAGAGCATGATGTAGGGGCATGCAATCAAGACCACTGGTGGTTAAGTGAAGAAATTTCTACATTCTGGATTTGAGTTGTCAGTCAGCTAAATGTGTAGTGAAGAGGTTCTCCCAGTTTTTAGCTGGCCTTTGCTCTTTTGTAATGATGCCTTTTAATAAACAGAAGTCACATTTACCTCTTTTTTATTTATTTTTTTTAAGATTTTATTTATCTGACAGAGAGAGATAGAGAGAGAGGGAAACAAGCACAGGGAACTGGAGAGGGAAAAGCAGGCTCCCCGCCGAACAGGGCACCTGATTCGGGGCTCGATCCCAGGACCCTGGGACCATGACCCGAGCCGAAGGCAGATGCCTAACCAACTTAGCCACCCAGGCGCCCCAAAGTATTTTGTGTATTTTCTTGGTTTAAAAATACTTTTTATAAGTAATCTCTATACCCAATTGTGGGGCTTGAACTCAAGACCCTGAGATCAAGTGTCATATGCTCTACCGACCGAGCCAGCCAGGCACCCCCTCACATTTACCTCTTTTTAAATTTCATGGTTACTGCTTTTTTTGTGTCCTGAGAATTCTTTGCCCACCCCCAACATCACAGAGACATTCTCATGTTTTCTTCTAGAAACTAAACTATAAAGTTTTAGTTTTTACACTTAGGTTTATGATCCAACTTGAATTAATTTTAGTGTGTAGTGTGAGGTAGTTGTCAGGATTTTTTTTCCCATATAATATCTAGTTGCTTCAGAAACATTTTTTTAAAGATTTGATTTATTTACTTGAGAGAGAGTGCAAGTGACAGAGAGAGAGAGAGAGAACGTTCGCGCATGTGGTGGGGGAGGGGCAGAGGGAGATGCAGACTTCCCACTGAGCAGGGAGCTGACTATGCTCCATCCCAGGACCCTGGGGATCATGACCTGAGCCGACACTTAACCAACTGAGCCACCCAGGCGCCACAGAAATATTTATTGAAAAGAAAAGAAAAGAAAAAAGAACTTCCTGTCCCCCACTGAATTATTTTGGTACCTTTATCAGTGTAGGTATAGACATTTTTATCTAAGACTCTTGGGTGGGTGGCTGTGGGCACTTGATCTGAGTCTGCACTGACTGGACAAGAAAGCATCAGGCTTATCCTAGGTGCATCTGTATTTCAGATGAGTGTCCTCCTAGTGCTAAGATGCCTGGTCCTTGGCCATTTCCCAATCATGTTTGGGAATTCCCGTTTGGAAGTCTGATGTTAGAGTCAAGCCTTGGCTTTGTCATTGAATATCTGAGGCATATCTTGACCTCCCTCTGCTTCGCTTTCCTTATTGGTAAAATGGCAAAATGGCACAAACCGAAGCACCAGAATGTTGTAAGATCAGTGGGATAACAAAGCAATGAAAATACTGGTTATTGCCTCTTTCTTCCTCATTACTGTTAACTCCTTGAGAGCAGAGAGCATGTCTTATGAATCTCTATACCCCACTGCCCTGAAAGACTATCTGGCACATAGTAGGTACTTATTACATATATGGAGAATAAATAATATTCTTTTCGGTAGCTTAGATGTAACCATTTATATGGCAATGTGCTGTGATTTATTGCTACCAAATTCAGTGGGCAGGTCTGTCTTCATCTTATTTGACACAATTGACAGTCCTCCTTCCGGATGCCCTTTATTCTCTCTGCTTCCAGAACACCACACACTCTTTGCTTTCCTCCTGCTCCTTCTTAGCCTTCATGGCCACAGCTGTTGCCTCTTCTCTAAGTCCTGCGGCGTCCAGAGTTCATTTCCCACCTCACTTTTCTTCTCTCTGCACACTGCCTCTTTGGTGATCTCCTCCACTCGTGCTATTTTAAGTGCTATCTCTGAGCTCCTGACTCCTGAATTTCTGTATCCGTTCAGAGCCCATACACACATAATGCATGGTCTTTTCTACTTTGATTTTAACAGGCATCTCTAAATCAGATTCATCTCAAGCAAAGCACAAGATTTCCCCAAATCTGATTTTACCTCACTCTTTCTTGTCTTGTCTTGGCTTTTCAAGTTTTTCCAAACAAAATCCTATGAGTCAGCTTTGGTTCTTCTCTTCACCCTCACTCCTCACATCCAGCTCTTCATTAAGTCTAGTTTGCCTGTGCCTCTGAAATGATTTCTGAGTGTATCCATTTCTTTCCTTCTTACCAGCACACCCAAGTCCAAGGTGCCCACCCTCTCTTGCCAGAGCCACTGCAGTGGACTCTGGGCTGCTGTCGCTAAGCTTCCTTTCTCGGAAGTCCGGATCATATCACCCCTCCTGTGCAAAAGTCTGTCTTAAACTGACATCCAGACTCCTTACCGCAGCCTGAAAGGTTCTATGTGAATGTCCCCTGCCTGCCTCCTTGACTTTGTAGACAAATGGATTTATCTATAGGGAAACCTGGAGGATAAGGACACAGCATTCCCGACATCCAGGAGGCTCAGCCTTCTATATGGTTATGTCATATCTTGGAAGGTTCTAGAGTTGAGTCTAGATCTGTCAGATCCTCCAGAAAATATCCAGTGGAAATTGCATATGTCTTGCAACTGAACACCTAATGTATCAATTACCTAGAAAATACTGATGACCGAAATCCACCAGTGGCTGTCAATGTGATTATAAAGCACTAGTGACCCGTAGGCAGTAGTGGGGAGTGATGACCGGGTGACATGGTGAGTGGTGGTGACCCGGCAGTGCGGGTAAGTGGTGGGAACACAGTGGTTGTGATGATGGGTGGTGACCCGGCAGAGGTGGCATGCTGAGTTGAGGAAAGCACGTGGGTCCTCTGGCCAGACTGGCTTGGGTTTCAATCCTTGCTCTGCCCCATCTCTCTGAGACTTGGGGCACGTGAGCTGCTGAGGCTCTCTGAGCTTCATCTGTAACATGGGGTGATACTGACCTTAGCAGTCTGCTGGAGTGTTGCTCTGGCATGGCATCTTTTTCCGGAAAGGGACAGGAAATGCCGTCACTGTTCTCTTCCCCTTCTCCTACAGATACAAAGTCCAGTGGTTCCCTCAGGACGTTATAGCAGAGATGAGGTGCAACGCTGATGAGGGGTTCTGTACACCCAGGCCCCTGGCACTCTGCCCCACCTCCCCACCTCCCCTTGGTGTGGTTAATTCTAGGAAAGCCCTTGCAAAGGCACCAGATTTTCCAGTAAGAAGTAGACTGCTGTTCAAATGGCTATGCCCAGATGGGGCCACCTTAGTGACAAGACCTGGTACATTTGGGGTGCCAAGAACAGCCCTTCAATGTGGGCCCCTCCACAACAGTTGGGCTGGGAGGTTTGCTCAGGGAAGCAGAAGAGGGAAGGCAAGACTGAGCATAATGTTGGAACCATTCTCTAGTGAGACAAGATCTCCCACAGAGTGAAAAAAGCAAAATCTTCGAAGTTAGGAAATTATGAGAACAGAAAAGAAGTATGTCCCATAGATTATTTAGAAGTGGTCGAAGTGAAGACCGTGGGATTTTTTTTTTCTTTTTTAAGCAAACAACCTAGGATGCAGCAGCTAGTTTTGACATTGATAGAGTCTTAGGGAACTAGCTTGTGGTCAGCCATAGGTACTTTCCACACCCACGAACCACCACAGGGACTTAAGTCCAGCAAAGCTCGATTTCAGATTCTCTAAACCAAAGAGAAAAGCCCCACGTTGGGTTAACCGGCAGCCACGTGCTACAGACAACCCAGATCTGAAAACGAAAAAAAAAAGGTGTGTGGAAACAACCATATTCTGGTGGTTTCTAACATAACTAATGTCTTTCTCTCAGTGATTTGCATCATGCTGCAGAGGTGTTGTCAAGCAGGCTCCAGGTCAATGTGTAGATTTTGTGTGCACCTGTTTGCAGGCCAGAGAGAGAACAGTCATATGAGAGCAGAGTCTTGATACTCTCCATTGCCTTATTTTCCTGAAACAGCTTTATTGCAGTGTAACTGACATACAAAATACTGCACATCCCTAAAGCATACTGTTTAAATTTTTACGTATGCGTTTATCCACGAAACCATCCCGACAGTTAATACAGTGAACATCGCCATCACCCCAGCAGTTTCCTCATGCACCTTTGTAATCTCTCCCAGGCCTCCCTTCCCTTCCCCCTCCATCCCTACTTCTTTGTTTCATTTCACTATAGATTTTCATTTTCTACAATTTTACATAAATGGAATATACAGTATGTAGCCTTTTTGTTGGTCTGGCCTCTTTCACGCAACGTAATTGTTTTTGAGATTTTTTTTTAAAAAAATTTATTTGTTATTTATTTATTTGAGAGAGAGAGAGAGAAAGCACGAGCAGCAGGGGGAGGTGGCAGAGGGAGAGGGAGAATCCTCAAGCAGACTCCCCACTGAGCACAGAGCCCAATGCAGGGCTCCATCCCAGGACCTGAGATCATGACCTGAGCAGAAATCAAGAGTCGGGCGCTTAACCAACTGAGCCACCCAGGCACCCCTGTTTTTGAGATTTATCCATATTGTGTTTATCAATAAATCATTTTTTTCTTTTTTTTTTTTCCCGAGTAGTAGTCCATTGTATTGATGTGCCACATTTTTTTCCCCATTCCTCTGTGGGTGGACATTTGGGTTGTGTCCAGTTTGAGGCTCTTACAGATAAAGGCACTATGAACAGTTGTGTTCAAGTCTTTGTGTGGACATTGCACTTCCTTTTCGCTTGGAATTAAATGTCTGGGACACGTGGTAGGTGCATGTTGAACTGTTTTTCCAAAGTGGTTGTATCATTTTCTATTCTCACCAGCAGTGCATGAGGATTCTCTTCCTCCATATCCTTGCCAACACTTGCTGTGGTCAGTCTTTTTCATTTTAGCCATCCTAAAATATGTGTAATGTTATCACATTGTGATTTAAATTTGCATTTCCCTAAAAGCTGATGATGTTGAGCATGTTGTGCCATCCATTAAACCTCTTTGGAAAAATATTCAAATAAGGTGGAGACTGACCGTGAAGGGGGATGCAGGCACTGTTTCGGCTGATTGGAATGTTTTGTATATTCATAAGGGCATGGATTGCACAGTCTTATCTATTTTTCAAAATTTTAATGTTAAGATTTATACATTTTACAGTATATAAAATGTACCTCAAAACCAGAAAAAACTATATATAGATTAGTTTGATTGAGGTGTCAGTAGAAGATAGATGAAGAAGGTAAAGAGAAAATCAGAACGGTGGAAAGTGAATAATTATGGAAACTGATGATAGGGACATGGGGCTTGAGTAGACCCTTTTGCTTCCTTTGTTTGAGATTTTCACAACAAAAAGTAAAAACAAATGCATAATCCCCCTGATCTAGAGAAGACGATGACCACTTCATTTCCAGGAAAAACAAAAAACAAAGGAAATGAGAATAAATTGTGATGAGAGAGTGTATGTAGCTTAACTAGGAAGTTATTTCATTACTAGGAAAACCTCCCCTGCAAAGAGTATCTTAGTGTCTGATCGTCTTTAACATGTGATCTTTATTAGTTTTAATTATAAAAGTAATATAAACTCAATGTAAAATAATCACACATTAGAGGAAAGCAAGATTTAGAAAATGACTGTCTTCTATAAGCCATTCAGAGTTTTACATACATGTGCGTGTGTGTGGGTGTGTGTGTGTTTGTGTGTTGACAGACAGGCATTATAATGCACGCATTATTCTGCTGCTTCCTCTTTTTCACTCAAGCAGTCTACTTCAAAATCTTTATCAAACAGAACAAACAGCTGTTTAGAAGCAGAAGGTAAAACCAGATGAAGCAGAAGGTTCTTTGGATTCCAAGATTATGCCAATTTTATCCATAGTCTAAGTAAGATCTTAAGTATGGATTTTTACCTAAATATGTAATTCTACATAAATAAGATGCCTCTTCTCTAAGGTCAACACCAACAACAAAACCCCTGACAGCAGGGAGAACAACCCCAATCACAAGATTCTAAAGCTCGGTGGTTGCGGGCAGCCAGCCCTCCGCCTCTCTGGTGAGCAGATGGCTGTTGGGCTCTGGGTCTGAGGGGCCCCAGTTAGCAGGATGACTCAGCAAAGCAATGGCCTGGGGAGCATCGAGGAGGCTGGCCAAGACTAATTGCTGTCAGGAGGAACATTCTTTTTGGCTAATTGCTCTTTTAAGATAATGAAAGTGTTTTAGGTTCCCTTTTGTCCATATGCAAATAAACTGGTGAGTTAAAGTCACTCCCAGTGCAAAGAGGACCATAGAACACACATCATGAAGATGAAGTGGTTTTCCCTTCATTTTGCATATTTTCTTGTCTGCACTTACATTCAGGTTTGTTTCTCACTTTATGGATGATCCCTTCTCTGTCGCCCCACAATTATGTATTGTAGCCATTTCAACTACGATGCCCTGATTTTGTAACATTAGCCCCAGTAGAACATCAAACAAGAACCAAGAATAATCACCTGTGTGGAGGGATAGGGAGTAGATGGGGCCTCCCTGGGATGACAGAAGTCTGGGTTGGGCTTCTTTCGTATTGTACAAAGTTTAACTCTAAGGAGCTCACGGTATCCCATTCGTGATTTCTGGTTGACTGGTAAAATTTTCTCAGCAGGGATTACAGACAGTTCCCGATTTAGATGGCTTGATTTATGACTTTTCAACTTGAGGATGGCCACAAAAGTGATAAGCATTCAGTAGAAACCACACTTGGAACTTGGAATTTTGGTCTTTTCCTGGGCTAGTGATACACGGTATATACTCTCTCATGATATGTAGCCCCATCAGGGAACTGTGGTTCCTAGCAGTCCCGGCATCATTGAGGTAACCAATGGAAACAATCGTTCTGTTTTTCACTTTCAGTACAGTATTCAATAAATGACATGAAATAATCAACACTTGATTATAAAATAGGCCTTGCGTGAGATGATTTTGCCCAACTGTCAGCTAATGTGAGTCTTCTGAGCACGTTCTGAGCTGTGACGTTTGGTAGGTTCAGTGTATTAAATGCATTTTTGACTTACGATATTTTCAGCTTACAATGACTTACGATATTTTCAGCTTACAATTTTCAGCTTTATCACGGGCGCCTGGGTGGCTCAGTCAGTTAAGCGTCTACCTTCGGCTCAGGTCATGATCCCAGGGATCGAGCCCCCAATTGGGCTCCCTGCTCAGCGGGGAGCCTGCTTCTCCCTCTCCTGCTCCCCCTGCTTGCTCTCTCTCTGTCAAATAAAGAAAAGAAAAGAAAAACAAAAAACAAAAACTAATGGGTTTATCAGAACGTAACCCTATCTGAAGTTGAGGAAGATCTGTATTTAACAAAATGATTCGATGTTTCTAAGAGCTAGTTGCAGTGACACATGCGAGTGACACAGGTGGGTTCTGATGAGACAATTACGGATACAATTGAGACCATGTGATTACACCCCAGGGCGGTGCATAGAGCCTTGTGCCTTCACTTATTTATCCTTCCATAGATTCAGCTAACTCTTACTATGTGAAGTTCGGATACCAGGGTCTGGGCTACATGTATGTCTTATACACCCAGCCCAGTGAATCCCTCAACTTCAGCCTGTTCTCTGAAGACACAATCACAAACACACCTCAGAGCCACACTCCATTTCCCTTCCACTGGAGGAGTCGGCTGCCTTCTTCAGCAAGCCCAACCCCAGCTACTGTGACTGTCACTGCCCATGAGAGCCTCCAAGCCCCCCACCCCTTCCTTCTCCTTGGCCTTCTTCCCCACCAGTTCCTTGGAGTTGACGTAACATTCTCAGGTTCCGCCTGGGGTCCTCACAGGCCTACACCAAATGTGTTCAGAGATCGCTCATTTTAGAGCCAGAAGCCTTCCCAAAGAGGCCTGATGTGAGTTCTCCAACATTTCCCCAATTACGGTCAGCTTGTCCTTGCTTCTGCACCCAGCCTGCACCCTGCCCAGTCCACACCAACGCCA